CTGCTCTAAAGACTGTGACGTCCCTTTAGTGGCATTTGCGAGCCCCTGCTCTGTCCTAGAACGCCTTCATGTGGCTTACATCCTAGCAGGCGTGCGTGGGAACTGGAGATCTGTTGGCATTTTATGATCCGTCCACACCTGCTTTGGAAGTTCCCTCGGGCACTCCCAAGGCCCGCGGGTGAGCCGGCAGGGATGGGAGTGGTGGCCGGTGTGTGTACGTCTTTCCCAGCCACCGGTTTAAATTCCGTGCCTTTGGAGGCGGTGACCTAATCCTGTCCTCCAGGGTGTGGCAACAGCATCTGGATTGTTCAGGAACGCTAGCCTCTGGGACAGAGACGTTCTTGATTGTCTCCCTGCCCGGTAATCCTAGATGTGTCTGGTTTCCTCCTACACTTTTCTGTTGACAGGCCTCGTCACACAAAGCTGCGGACAGGCGAATTTCCAAGAAGTTCAAGTATGACAAAGGTCATCTCGTGAAATCAGAATTACAGAAACTTGTCCCGAAGGGTGAAAGCCTTGGGCTGCCCAAGATCCCCCCCAGGAGCCCTTGTAAGGATGAGTCTCTGGGGCTCGCTGAAGACCAGGGGCTGCCTCCGGGAAAGGGAGCTGGGGCTCCTGCCCAGCCCACGGCCACGGGGCCCCCCCTCGGGGCCCGCACAGCCGTGGGCGACACCGGCCCCGCAGAGACTGAGGACGGCCTGTGCCTGCCCACACCCGGGGTCCTTCCAGGAGAGGAGCCTCACGGCAGCCACGCCACACGGGGCGGGTTGGTGGAGCAGGCGCCGAGGCCCCCGCTACAGACGGACGACAGCGTCTTTCTGGACGAGGACAGCAATCAGCCCATGCCCGTGGGCCGGTTCTTCGGAAACGTGGAGCTCATGCAAGTAAGATGGGCGCCCCCGCGCAGGCTGCACACTGGGTCAGCTCACGGCCTGCTTGTGGCACTGCCTCAGGACAGGCCCCATTCCCCACAAGGAGGAGATACGCAGGCCACCTGGGAGCAGCCCCTCCCTGTCCTGAGCAGGGGATCCTTGCCAGGGCGCAGCCTCTGCTGGGAGGCCTCTCCTTCCTTGCTGGGCCATCGGGGTGGGGGTTGGTGCGGACTCTGGGCCTCCCCCCTCGGTCATGGGAGGGGAGCAGCCACCCCCCCGCACACTTGCTGGCTGTCCTCTTCCCTAGGATCAGCTGGGGTGGGGGGGCGAGCCCTCCCCTGGGATGCTCACCAGTGCGGTGGGCTGGCGGTGGCTAAGATGACTGTTCTCTCCCTCCAAGGACCTTCCCCCAGCGTCTTCGTCTTGTCCTTCGATGAGCAGACGGGAATTCAGGAAAATGCATTTCAGAGCCAAAGATGATGAAGACGACGACGACGGTGCCGAAATGTAGGGAATAAAGTACACAGCAGTTCCTTGCATATTTAATACCATTAGTAGTTTTGACAGTTTAGCAAGTGACGAGATTTTTATCAAGTGTCTCCCAAGAAAATGTGTTCTTAGCCAGATGCTGAAATGGACCCATGAAGGTCCTTGGGCAGGACACCAGGTGCCTAGAGCGTCGACACTCGTGACCCGGAGCCGTCTCTCAGACTGGCCTCCGCTGCTCCACACGTTTTCTGGAGTCTGCGGCCGCGCCAACGGTGCGAGCCCCTGAGCCGCCCAGGGGTCCGTGGGAGAGACCGTTCCGAAGAAAACGCCTCCCTCGGCTCTCTGGCTTTGCTAAGAATTGAGCTTGTTTTCCATCATCAGAAGCGGATCATTCTTGTGATTGAGTCAGTGCCAGTTCTTGAAGAACTCTCCTTTTTTTCTGTACATGGCGCTGCTGTTTACCTCGGAAACTTGCAAAGTACATATAAGGGAGAAATAAAATATATTTTGAAAATATTTTTAAAGACATCTTTGTTCCTAAAACCCTACTCCTTTCTAAAATGTCTGAGAGCCAAGTGGAGGACACGAATCCTTTCCTGTCTTCCGGGTGTCGGGCTGGGTTGGCCTTTGTGCCTGCTCACTGTGGGGAGGGGACACCAGTGAGTGGAGAGCTGAGGCCACTGGCTAGAAGGGACGCGGCGCGCGCACACACACCCCTGTGTAGACCGAGGGATTCCTGAGACCGCCGCGGTGAGCCACACAGTCCTCACCCCGTGTGGCGATGAGGCCCGATGTCCCCAAGGGCTGTGGCCTCCCTCCGTGGTGTAACCAGTTTCAGAGATTACAGAGCACTGGGGAGGTAACAGCAGGGAGCCCGGGTCCCCAGTGACCAACACAAGGAGAGAAGCTGCCTCCAGCTCGGGAAGACGGGGACCAAACGGCTCAACGCGCAACATCTCCTCTGGAGCTGCGCCCGCACCCTGGTCTCTCACTCGTGGTTCTAGTTACCCACGCTCCACCGCCAGGCGGAAGCCAGGGTCCTCCTGGGACGCGTCGTCAGAAGATCCAAAGCAGCCCAACACTGTCGCCTGCCCACGCTGCTCCCCTCCATCCTCACGAGCACATCCTCCCGTCACTGTCCCAGGAAGAAGGGTGAGCGCAGGCCCGGGAGAGCTCGAGACCACAGACCTCTAACCTCACGGCCGCGCCTCGCTGTGACTGCTCGTCCCCTCCTGTGCCTGTCATGGTTCCATGTGACCTCAGGTGTGTGTATAGGACGGGGCTGGCACAGGGAGGGCTCGGGACCAGCCACACAGGCAGCCACGGGGTCTTGGAAGGGACCCCCCCACCAGTAACAGACATTTCTGACTTAGTAATAATAGCAGCTCGATTTAACCCTATGAATTTCTAGAAACACTCGGACGTGGGTCTTTGCACGATGACATGCCCATGGCTGGGGGAGCGGTGTCGGAACTAGGAGAGCCGTCCTGCCGCGCTGTCCCCAGCGTCCGTTGTGCAGGGGACCCTCAGACCCACTCCCCTAGGACTCAGGAGAGAAGCCACGATGCTCACAGTCCCGTTTATCACAGGGAAGCCACCCGCAGGGAAAATGCCAGAGGAACAGCCTCCTGCGGTGGCCCCCGGGGCAGCAGGGATGCAGGCTTCATCCTCCAGGCACCCGAAAGCTCACCTGGGCCCCACTGGGGTCAGTCACACAGGCTTGCAAGGCCCGTCTGGGACCGAAACGCCCCCCGCTGTCCCCGGTCTCACCTCATCAGCCCCTGCCTTGCTCGCACCCCTCACTGGGCTCCTTCAGCCCTGACCCCAGACACTGCACGGCCGGCTGCCCATCCTGGCTACCATGGAGGCCGCCTGCAGGACCACAGTCTGGAGCTCCTCCCTCGGCAGCCTGGCCCACCAAGAGCCCGCAGCGAGTGTTGGCCCTGCCAGCACCAGGGACCAGGCGCCCCGATGTCACCGCAGTCATGCACCCACAGTGGATCATCTCCCACCGAACCCCACAGTGGGGACCCTACACTCCCAGCTCCTAGAGTTTTCCCTCCCTTCTTTGGTTGAAAACAGACAACGAACCCCTATTTTGCAAAGAGGTTGTGCCACCGACTCTCACCTGGGAGTCTGAGGGTCCCCTAACCGCCGGGTGACCCCCCTCCCTCCCATCTGAACCCGGCACCCAGGCTGAGGGCCCCGACACAAGCAAACTCAACCACACGGCAACCGCGACAGCCCTGCAGCTCCTGCTCCAAGCCGAAGACTGGATTTCTGCGTCCTGCCTCCCGAGGGGACGTTAAGTGCCCATCGGGAAGGTGAGCAGGAGCTCATAGAGGGCCGTGCAGGCAGCAGCAGAAGTCCCAGCAGATCAGATCTCAGAGCCCAGCCCGGCGGACGGCCCCCGCGCTGCTGCTGGGCTGGGGAAGGAGGGGCCACAGGACAGCTCAGCAGGCAGACAAGGGCCGGGCGGACTTTCCAACACCCCTGCCCGTGCGATTCCCCAAGCGCTTCCCCGAGCAGCCAGCTGAACAGCACGTGCTCCGGTGCCTGCGCAGGGCTGGCTCATCCTGACACCTGTTTCAGTGAAGAAAATGGAATGATGTGTGTCGTTTTTTTCAAAATCACTGACCCTTTATTTTCATCCTTATTTTTATCATTCCCAGAGAGTGCCAACTTTCGATGGGTCTACTGAGAAATCTTTGTTGGTTTTTACGATTATACAAAAGTAAAAATTCAAGTATTATAATCTGCAGGACTTTAGGAAGTCAGTTTTAAAAAATTATGAAATCAGTGCTTATTTCAAAAACTTCAGGTTTTATAAAACACAAGATTTAGAAAATTAGCCCTTTCTAATCCAGAGCACCCCCACCGCGTCCCCGGGGTTACTGTCCAGAAGGCACATTTCCTCGAAGACTCCTGTGTGCAGTAACACGCACGTGTGACACACACAAAGGCGGTTATAAGACCAGGTCACAGTCCGCGTGGGGAAGCCACTGAGCGCCTTGTGCCCTGCCACACGGCCCCGTTTCCACACAGAAACACACCAGAGTGTCGACGGGGAGGAAGCCTGACCATTTCTGATTGACAAGAACAGCAATGTCCTGTGCTCCGGCACGAGACCATGGGGTCAGCCCTTCCCCTACGGACACACGCCGGAGGGTCTCCCGCTCTCTGCCACCAGAAATGATGGTCCTTGCATGTGCTTTTCCGAATACAAACGTTTTACCCCAAATGGGCTGCAACCCTTGGGCGCAATCGGAAAAGCCGAGAGGGCAGAGCTCTGCATGTGTCGCGGGAGCGCCCACCCAGCCGAGCGCCGATACAGACCACTTGTCCCTCAGGCCAGCGCGGCCATGTCTGGCCTGACTCCGGGCCAGTGGGGAGGCCACCCGTGTGCGCACAGCAGCAGGGCCATCGGGGCGGGAGGGGCCCGAGCTGAGGACGATGCCTCGTCCCTGCCCACCCACACGTGTCCCGGCTGTGCAGCAACAGGTCCTCTGGCGCTAGAGCTCAGAGGTGCAAAACCCGCTTCAGAGACTGTAGCAGGGACCTCTGAAGTCTCCAGGAGCCACGTAGTGACAAGAACAAAACCACGGGCATTGCACCCCGGGAGGAAGTGCGGCCGCCCGTCACGCCCATCACTGGCCCCTGCGGGCCGGCCACCGCCTCTTCGGCTTCGACCGCGGTCTGTAGACCCTGCGCGGGTCGCAGCTGAGCTTGTGGGTGGTTTTCTTATGGCAGGCGATGTGGACCAGCTTCAGGTTCTCCGAGGTGAAGAGCAGGTCGTAAAAGTACTCCCAGGCCACTTCCCTGCCATCTCGTGCCGTCACGGCTTCCGCCAGCGTGGGGACGACCGTGCGCTTCTTCTCTATTCTGCAAAGCAAGTGAGAGCAGGTCACCGGGCGCCGGCGCCATCCGCGGCCCCTGCCAGGACATCTCCCACACAGCACAGAGACATCTCGCCTGGCTTCTCCTCGGCCACCGCGGCCGAGCCAGCAACCGCGGCCGAGCCAGCAACCAGCGTGGCGGGCTTACAGGAAAGACACAAGTGCTACGGTTCAGAATTCACAAGGAGCCACACTTGGAAACACCCTGGAGGAGCTGCGCGGCAGGGACACCTCATCTCACTGTCAGCGGAAAGAGAACGGGGGGACAGTCCACTGGGGCACCACCGCACACGGCCACGCCCGCTGGCCCGGCCTGGAACCGGCAGCCTGGCTTGTCTCCCGCAGGACGGCTGGGACCACAACCTCTTTAAGTTCCGGGAAGGATGAAGGGAAGGGGCGGATCCCAGTGGCCTCGGTCCCCACCAGCGCCGGTCCTCACGGTGCCGCCAGAGTGAGCGCCTGCCCGCCGGAACCCCGAGATAAAGCCTTCCCCCGTCCTCCCTGGAGAGCGTCGTGAGAAGGGCCGAATGTCTTTCCAGCCCCAACCTCATGCTCGTGTGCGTCCATGCTGCTGGCGTAAACCTGTTTCACTTACAAACAAGCCATTCGAGGCCCGCGCACTAGCAAGGACGGAAGCCTGCGGGCTGATGAGGAGGGACGCTGGCGGACCAACTGCACAGACCCGTGTCCCGCAGCACAGAGAAATGCCAAACACAAGGGAAAAGAAGTGGATACTCGCGATCACAAGAAAGAGGGGGCCCCACTGCCAGAAACAGCGACATCCACACTTAACCCGCAGGGTTAGCCACCGCCCTGCAGTGCACCAGGGCCACGGTCCAGGAAGGGGCCCAAGGGGAGGCGGGAGGTGGGACTGAGACCCCACTGCAGCCGTGAGTGCGGGAAGGGGAGTGGCGGGGAGCCCCGGGTTCTGGGGAGGGAGGAAAAGCCACCCCATCGGCCACCTACTGTGGCATCCCCAGCCCCACGACGGGGGCCTGTGGGGGTGGGTGTGGCTGGGCTCCCGCTGATCCTGACCCACTCCTGTGGCTGTGCTGGCTGGAGGGTGGACTGGGGGCCAGGCTTCCTCCCCAGGGAGCCAGCTCAGGTCCCCCTGGGGATGGCAGCACCCAGGGAACAGGCCCCAGTGAGCAGGGGCGTGTCAGGCGTCCGCTGGAGCCACGCAGCCAAGCCTGACCCACCCATGGGAGGGGTCGGGGGTTCCCAAGGGGCAGGCAGCGGGGGACAGGATGCGGGAGCACCAACAGCATGAGCATTTCCAGTCACCCAGAAAGCCAGGACCCTCGGCTCACCCTTCAGAAACACACAGTCCGACCTCACGCCGCCGCTCATGTGGGAGCCAAGCAAGAAGTCAATACTCCGTGGTTTCGGAGCCACTGAAAGCTCTGGGCATCCGGCAGAAACAAAGGCAAAACCGCTCTGTGGGGACAGGACATGCCAGCGCACACAGAACACCTACAGAAAACAATCCCGCTGAGAGGAAACTCAGAACCCAGACACACCGACATCACGAGGAATGCACGGCGGTGGGCAAGGACCCCCGAGAAAGACCCGGCCACAGCCTCTGAAACAGACAGCTGACAACTCGGGAGGGTTCCCCGAGACCACCCTCTCTGCCGATGCCAACTCTAAGGCCCAGGGCTCCCTGAGACCACCCACAGGATTGAGAGTGCGTGACAGGCTCCGCCTCCCAGGCGAGGTTTATGGTCGCAAGGATGCAAGGGAAAATCAGCCAAGGGGAGGGGCCCAGAGGGTAGAGGCCAGAAAAGCCCGGGGTGCAGAGCTCCTACCGCCCCCTCCCTACGGAGGGCACAGACCCCCTTTGGGGGGTGTCAGAACAAGGCAGGCAAGTCCCAGTCAGAACGGAGGGAAAGGCCTGTGCCCGCACACGCTCCGCAGTCAAGGACAAAGACGCTGGACCACGGCCACCGAAGAGGCAGAGAGCAGCCGACGCCCAGAGACCGTGCTGTCCCGCCTTCCAGGCCTAAAGGGGGACCCCGGACGCCCCGGAGAAGCAGGCGACAGTCCAGGGTACAGGGCCGTCTTCCCAGGCGGGAGAGCACGGGCCGCCCACGGACCCGCACGGACATCGGGCATCGGAAATCAGAAAGGAGCCGGAGGTCAGATGCACAGGGAAGCCGCCCGGCTTGCTGGAAGGCCTAAGAGCCATATTTACTGAGAAAACATGCTCGAAGCCACGGTGTTGGGGAACAGTGCTCCCGCCCCTGCCGCCTCGCCTGCCTCTGCTCCAGGCTGGCCTGTCCCACCCTTTAAACCCGGGACTGAGCCCTCGACCCATGTCCCCACACCGCAGCGGGTCACAGAAAGTAGGAACCTACGAGCTGGAGAGCCACACGTCATCTTCAGGCGCTTGGTGCCCGTCAGAGGGGCTGAGACCCTGCACCCTCCCTAGAGGGCGCTCACCCCGCGGCTCAGGCACCAGGACGGCCCTTCTCCCCCACCCGATGTGCATCCCCCGTCCCCGGAGCCCGGGGAATTGCGGGCGGGACCCAAGAATCGGCCTTCCTGACCACTCCCCAGAGCTGCTGTGCCGCCTGCCCACGGCCCGCCCCTCCACGGTCTGGAACGGGAGACCACACAGGCCTGTCCCATGCGAGTGCTCTCCCCAGGCTGTGCTATAACGTGGAAACTCAGACCCCACACCCCTACCAGCCTGGGAACGCAGGCTCCCGCGACCTCCTACTCTCAGCGTGCACCGCTCCGCACCGGGGAAGACACACGCTCCCGAGCTACAGGCGCATCCCGTGAGGGTCAGGGAGACTGCGGAGACACGGTGCGGCATCACCACGTGGGACCGCGCTCATCCCTTCTCAAACTCAGATCTCCAGGGACCCGCCACAGCAACAGCTTCCACTGTCCCTCCAACGTCCCTTGTGCACTCAGTAAAGGGGAGGCGTCCCCTTGAAGGGCATGGGAAGACCTCTGTCTTCAACAAGGAGACACAAGACCGTCATTATATTCTAGAAAAGCATCTCCCCTAAGATAACACAATTCTAATTCTGCCCTTTTCTTAGAATGAGCTCGTACACACAGAACGATCTGCGGCCTTCGCTCTCCGGGTGGAAGCAGGGACGCCCTGCACTCTGCATCAGAGCCCCCACTCTGGGCTCATCCTGATGGAGGTGGAGAGACCCCCTACCACTGCCACCGAGTGCAATGCCAGGACAGCGCCTCCTGGGCCCCACAGACGGGAGCCGGACGAGACAGAGGGACACGTGCCAGGTCCCACGGACGTGGATGGGGATCTGGAAAGCCCGTCAGAGCCCCTCACGGGAAAGGACACCGATCCCCGCAGGTCGGGAGTGCGCAGCTGGCACCCCGCCCACCCGGCATACCCAGGACACGGCTGGGCCCATAACCCAGGAACTGAGCACAGCAAACACGAGACAGCGGGCCAGCCACGGCCACCATGGCAGGGACAGGCCCCAGCAGGTGCTCTTGGGGTCTGCGAACGTAGTTCTCAACAACAGTCCTGACCTCTCCGAAAGCCGTACTCACATGTGGTCCAGGTTCCACGTGCTGAAGAGGACGCGGCTCTCCCTGTTACCGTAGGGATTGATGGAGTGTTTGGATGCACAGGCGTCTACGTCGAAAGGGCCCTAGGTCGCAAGAGAACACGGTCCACGGAGTGAGCTCAGCACTCGCCCACTGGCCTCACGTCAAGCTGGAGGGGCTGAAAAGGCCACCCAGGAGGATTCAGTCCTGGTAGACGGCTGCTGCCTGGGGGTGTCTTTAGGGGCGCCTGGGGGGGCTCAGTCGTTAAGCCTCTGCCTTCGGCTCAGATCGTGATCCCAGGGTCCTGGGATCGAGTCCCGCATCGGGCTCCCTGCTCAGCGGGGAGCCTGCTTCTCCCTCTCCCTCTGCCTGCTGCTCCCCCTGCTTCTGCGCTCTTTCCTTGTCTCTGTCAACTAGCTAAACAAATAAATTAAAAAAGCACCATCTTTGGAATGGTCCCCCCTTTTCCCTCGTGACCCTTAGTATGACACTCTGCATTGGCCAAGGGGACAAGCTATTGTCATATTGTCAAGCTCCTGCCATTGTGAGGAACGCCAGACGTCAAATAGTCTGGACTGCCCGGCTTCGGTGCGCCATGCCCCATCTTCAGTCACTCCTTCACAGATGTCGGCTGAGCACACGCCACATGCCGTGGCACCCGTGCCCCCCACCTTCCTAGGATCGTCACCCCAAGGCTTGTGGCTCCCCAACAGAGCCCACGGCCCCCACTTCCCCACCCTTGTTGCCTCACAGGGTCACTTGTCCTCTCCCACTGTCTCGTTAAACCTGGCTTTAAAGCATCACCTCCTCCCTGAAGCCCCCAGCTTGCCCCACCCAGGGCTGGCCTGTCCCCCAAAGGCCTGCACAGCTCCAGCTCCAAACCCACTGTCCTCGCTCACGTACAGACTTTGGGCCTCGGGCCTCCCGACGAGGTCAGTGTGAAGCCTTTCATCTCTGCTCCTCCCCCGAGGAGCACTGGGCTCAGGTGAGGCCCCCGGAAAGGACCTGAGGTCATTCGGAGCCCCACACGCAGGTGGCTGGAAGCAGCGGTGTTCTGCTAGTCAGGGCCCATCACCCGCACAGGCAACTGCCCAGGCAGAAGCACAGGGAGCCCGTCTGTGGGAGGGAGGCGGGGAGGCCGCGCCTGCCTCCAGGGCCAGCTGTGTAACCTCCGGCCACCAGCAGGGAGAAGAGATTGTGCTGGAAATGCAAAGGGGCCCAGGTACTCGCCGGAGCCCCGGAGGCCAGGAATCCCCTGCCCGTCCTTGCAGAGGCCCCCAGCTCCAAGCCCCAGACTCGTGACCCTGCTCAGTAGTCCCTACTGGAAAGTGGTGCCTCTGCAATTTCTCCGGGTCTCCGGGAGGAGGCCCAGATGCTGCTTCCAGCTGCTGTGACCCCCCCTCCAGGTCCCGTCTGGCCACAAATCCTAAAATCTGAGCCGCCACCTAGAAAGTGGTTTCAGAAGCTGGGAACTGTCTTTATGCACCCATCCCCCTTCTCCCAACGGGAGCCAAGGAGAGGCCTCCACTCGGGATGCAGACGTGCACTCCTGGCCCCATCAGTGGTTCTCAAAAGAGGGCCCAGAGCAGCGGCAGGGCCGGGGAGGCTGTCGGAAGGGCTGCTGGACCAGCAGCGGGGCCAGGAAGTGGGGTGTGTTACGACGGCCGTCAGGCAGGGAAAGGGGTTCCAATGCCATTGAAGTTGGAGAGCAAGGGCTGAGATGCCCGGAGGGAAGCCTCGGGACACTGGTGCAGCGGCCGCCTGGGCAGCCCCGGGACCCTCGGCGCACCTGGCAGCAGAACCAGCCCTCCGGCGTGCAGAGCCGGCGGCCAGCCTTGGCGCCTCTGTCGAAGTAGGTACCGTGGTACTGCGCCGCCCTGAGCTCCCGGCCCATGACGGCCACGATGCGGGAGTACTCCTCCTGGGCCTCCACGCTGACCACAGAGGCGTAAGAGCTCACCTGGAAGAAACCGGGGACCCTGCTGGATGCTGGCACACGACACCCCAAAGCCCACAGTTGGGGGGGCTTCAACGCCCCCACCCCGTGCCCCCCATACACCTGCATACCCCGTGCCCCCAGCACCCTCACCCCACGCCCCACATGCCCACACATCTGCACACCCTGTGCCCCCTGCACCCCTTGCACCCCATGCCCCATGCACCCCGCACCCCCCACACCCCGTGCCCCACATGCCCACACCCCTGCACGCCCCAAGCCCCCTGCACCCCACCTCTCTCAGGTAGCTCCGGATCCGGCTCTCACAGCTGTACCTCAGGTACCCAGACTTAGTCCTGAATCGAGACTCCAAACCTGCCAGGATCGAGAGGAGACCAAACCGCTCTGGGATCCGCGGCCCTGCCCTCCCGGTGGCAGCCTGTGTGCACCGCTGGCCTCATCTGAGAAACGTGTCCTGCTCACAGGCTCCGGTTCTCTTTGCCTGGGGAGGGGGATCCCTGGCCCCCCCTCATGGGCATCCGGACGCCACTGAGGGCCTGCTGCTCCTGCTCCACAGCCCCCTTGTGCACGGGGCTACAGACTCCTGGGGCTGCTCCAACCCGCCCACAGGCCGGTGACAGACCAGCAAATGGGGTCCAGGCACGCAGTAGAATGTGAGCCAGCCTGAAGAAGGAAGGAGCCTGGGACACATGGGGACAGCACACGTGGCCTTGAGGGCCGGTGCAGAGTGAGACCAGCCAGGCCAAGGACACCCGCTGTGTGACCGCGAGTGAGGCCCAAGGAGGGTCAGATCAGAAACAGAGCAGGCAAACGCGGGCGCCAGGGGCAGACGTGGGGGACAGGGGACAGTGTCTACAGTGGAGGAACCCGAGAAAGATCTGGAGACAGAGGGTGGTGACGGCTGCTCGCCAAGATGAACGTACCCAACCCCCTGAAACTACACACTCACACGGGTTAACACGGAAAATTTCATGTTGCGCACACGTCCCCAGAGTTCCGAAATAGAAAGGCCAGCCCCAGGGCTGTGAGAGCAGGGGAGCCTGGCAAGGCCCCGGCCCGGGCTGCAGCGGTGATCCAGTGCCCTCGCGCGGGGTTCTGAGCCCACCCGCCCCCCGACCCCAGCTACCTTCGAACCACGGCGGGTCCTCAGCCCTGGTCTCGGCCGCGATGTTCTCACTGACGGTGTGCAGGAGGTCGGCCAGCAGCTTCTGCCGCAGCGGGGCCTGCTCGTCGGACAGCAGCTGCCGCGCGGCCTGGATCAGCCCCTCGTGCGGCTTGTGGAAGGCGCTGAGGAAGCGACGGATGTCACTCACATCTGCCAGCAGAAGAGGGACCGACAGAAAAGCCAGCAGCCCTTGAGTGCGGCGGTGGGGACACATGGAGCTGCCGGCCGTCCAGCCCCGCCTCGCTGCTGGGACTGCCCAGCCTCAGAGATGTCCTGGGCCCCAGTCCTTGCCCAGACACTGGCGAGCCACTGCCCACGCCTGGGCCTGTGCACCCACCCCGCAGGTGGTGCAGGGTCGGATCTGGCAGGAGCCACACCAAGCGAGTGGCTGCCCTTCTCTCCCTACACGAAACCTCCCACGTCCTCGGGCTTCCTTCTAGACCTCCCTCTGGGTCTCCCCGCCACGGTGCTGCCCCCGGGAGCCTCCCACACACCCTTGCTCACACCCCTGCTCTCACCCCTCCTCACACCCCTGCTCACACCCCTGCTCTCCGCGGAGCAAGCACTGAGCACCTGGGGCACCAGAGTCTACCGAGAGCCTCGGACACGCCTCAGCCAGCAGAGATGGCAGCACACATGGAACGACGACACCCCGCCGCCCAGCAGCGTTGGTCCAGGACCAGAGGCTGTTCAGTGCGCGACAGTCAACCGGTATCATCCACCCTTGATGGGCTAAAGAAAAAAAAATCCCCGACCACAGCCGCTGCTGCAGAAAGACTGCAGAGAAACGCTCCCAGGACGAGGGCTTGGAGAGAAGTTTCCGGACTTCATGGAGAGGATGAGCACAAGAGGAAAGCGCGGACAATGTGGGCTTCGTCAAAACGGAAAACCTGCGCTCCGTGAATGAGCCTGCTCCGCGCTGCAAAGACAAGCGACAGAGCGGCGGGAAACGCCCACAAGCCACACGCCTCCCGCGACGCATCCAGAACACATGGTGGGAAAAGCCCAAAACGCAACAGTTGCAAACTCCAGTGAGAAGACGGACAAAAGACAAATGGACAGAGACACTTCCCCAGAGAGGACAGCCGGACAGCAGACTAGCTCAGGGAAGGAGCCAACCGCACGTCCCACAGGAGCACAAAGTCGCCCGCGCGGAGACAGCTCTGCACACCCGTTGGGGCGGCTGCACGGGAGACAGCCACACCGCCCGAAGCTGGACTCGGGACGGGGCCGCTGCTCTGCAACAGTCCGTTCCTCTGTCTGAACAAAACCACTTCATTGAGGCGGGTCCCCGCCCCTCACAATCCACCGCATGAGAGGCACAACCCCGTGTCTCCTAGTCCTCGAAAAACAGGCAAAGGTTCCATTCTCCACCGTGGGAACGCACCACACTCCCCCCAGCTGTCTCTCGGGGGCGCTATCTGGGGCTCCACCTTTTGGCCACGATGAGTAAAGCATCATAAACAACCATGCACCAGTTTTCCCGTGGACTTGCGCTTTCGGTCCTCTGGGGTGCACGCTAGAAGTGGGGCCGTGGGGTCACAGCTGACTCTGCTGGATCATCGGGGGACCACCAGCCCGTCCCCCAGGGCAGCGGCACCGCCTCACGCCCTCCAGCAATGGGCAAGCGTCCCAGTCCCTCCAGGTGCTCAGCAGCCCGTGCCCAGCCCCGTGGGGTGTGGGGTGCCCCCCTCGGTGCGTTTGCGTTTCCCGGGGGGCGAACACTGTGGAACATCTTCCCATGTGCTTGTTTGCCGTCGGAATATCTTCCTTGGAGAAACGTCTATTCACAACCTCTGCCCGATTTTATACTGGGCTGCCTGTTGCCTGTGGGTTGGAGGACTTCATTTACTCTGGTACAAATCCCTTACCAGATACGCGATTTGCTCATTTCTCCCATCCTGCGGGTGATCTTTCCACCTTCTTGATGGGGTCCCAAAAGTCTTTCATTCTGAAGTCAAATGTATCTACTTTTTCCCTCTAGGTGTTCACGTGTCTGGTGTCACATGTAAGAACCCTTAGTCAAGTTCAAGGTCATGAACAGTGACTTCCCTGGTTTTCTTCTGAGGGTTTTAGATTTCTAGTTCTTGCACTGAGGTCACTCACCCATTTTGAGTTGATTTTTGTGTATGGTGCCGGGCGAGGGTCCAACCCACTCTTCGGCATGTGGGTGTCCCACCGTCCCGGCGACATCTGGTAAAGGGGGGATTCTTGCCCCAGCGGACGGTCTTGGCACCCCTGGCACCTTCAGCTGATCACAGACACATCAGTTCGTTTCCGGACCATCTTTCAATCCTGTGTCTCGACTACCACTACTTTGTAGTAAGTTTTTAAATTAGGAAGTGTGAGGCTCCTCCCATGTTCTTTTTCAAGAGTGCTCTGGCTATTCTGGGTCCCTTGAAATTACATATGAATCATGGATTGCAATCAGCTTGTTGATTTCTGCAAAGGAAGGAGCCGGAGTTCCAGGAGGGGCTGGGACTTGCGGACCAGTCTGGGGAGTGTTGACGTCTGAAGGGGGTCAAACCTTCTGACCCATAAACACAGTGTATTTTCCCATGGATTTAAATCCTTTTCTTGCAACAATGTTTTATACGCTTCAGAACATAAGTGTTGCACTTCTTTTGTTACATTTATTCTTAAGTATTTTACTCTTTTCGATACTATTGTGGATATAATTGTTCCCTTAATTTCATGTTTAAGGTACTCGTTCCAAGTTGGGTTTTGGGTATACAAAACCTCCAGTGCGATGTTACAGAGAAGTGACGAGAGTGGACACCGTCGTCTTGAAAAATTAAACACACATTTATGCTATGACCCAGCCCCTGTACTCCTAATGCAAATGTACTCGAATGCAAATGGGTGTCCACACAAAAACCTGTACGTGACTGGCCACGTAGGCTTCATACGTAATAGCCCAAAACTGGAAAGCAAAATGTCTCTCAGCAGGCAAACGGGTAAACAAACTGGGGCCCAGCCACATCACAGAGCACCACGCAGTGATAAAAGGGAACGGTCCGCTGGAACTCACGGCACGTAGACGCTTTCAGGGGCTTACTACCGAGTGAGAAAAGCCCATCTCAAATGATCATATGCAGTGTGATTCCATTTCTTTCATGTTCTCGAAATGACAATGTTACAGAGACAAGAACACGTCAGTGCTTGCCAAGGATGAGGGACAGCAGCGCTGGGAGGGGTAGGCATGGTTACAAAGGGGCAGCGAGCGGGAGAACTTTGCCGGGGGGTGGGGGACAGGCGGCGGGATGGGATCCTTCTGAACCTTGACTGCAGGGCCAAACACACAAGCCCACACAGGCATAAAGCAACGCAGAACACACACCCGGGACCAAGGTCTGCCTCCTGGTTTGCCAGCTGCGCTATGACTGTGTCAAGTGCACCCTTTACGGAACCCGATCTTTGTAACTTCCTATAAATCTATCACTATTTCAAAATAAACAATTTAAACTTCTCTTTTTTAAGACATTTACCAAGGGGCTAGTGGTCTCCGTGGAGAGAGGGGGATAAAGTGCCAGAGAAAGACAGACCGACAGAAAGGAGGAGGGTGAGACAGGGAAAGAGAAAGAGAGAGGGAAGAAGAGAGAGATGGAAGGAGGGCCAGAGGGAGACAGGTGGGTGGCGGGCACGGGGACAAGAGCCATCCAGCCTGGTCCGCGCTCAGCTCCACCACGAAATGGAAAAGAGAAGGAAGAGCGGAAGGTGCTCAGGGCCGCAACCCTGTCCTACCCAGTCCCCGCCTCCTGCAAGGTGCCACCCCGGGTGGCGTCGCCGTGACTGCATTCTGGCTGCCTCCTCTAGAAGGAAAAGGCCCCACAGAGAAAAAGCACTTTCAACCTCAGAGCATACACTAGATGTGACATCCCTCACTGCTGACGCAGAGTCCCAGCCACAGGGCAGAGCCCCAGGCACACTACTCGAGGGTGTCCTGCTGGCCCTCGGCCAAAAAGGCAGATATTTCCATCCTCTGGGCTCCCACTTCTTTCCTGGGGCACCAGAAGCATCTCCTGCAATGTAAGCCACCTGGCATAGAGCCGGTCAGCCCGGCTTGGAGGAGAGCACACGCCCACGGCTGCGGTGTGGAACCTGTCCACCGGTGACCAGCTGGTGCTTAAATGCAGACACCCTGCAGGAGGCACTTCCAGAAGCAACTGGCCTAATGAGGCCCTGGCGTGAGAGCACACCGGCAAGCACCAACACAGACCAGACACTGGGCACAGCCCCAGCGACCACCCCTTCCCTCGGAGCTGCACAGCTGGCCAGGCTGGAGGGAATACGGCCCCTCTCTCTGGTCGGCCTCACTCGCCAATCCCTCCCTTCTACCCTCTGGAGTTACTGGGATAGTCAAATAAACATAAAATTTAAATGATGTCGAAAAGAAGAAAAGTCACCTAAAACACCCAACTGGACAACGGGGCTCCTGGACAAGAGGAGCGGCAGCTCTCCGTGATGCTGGGGGCTCCCCCCTTCCGAGTTCTGTGCGGGAAGACCGCCCCCCCCCCCGCAGGTCGGTGTCCGGGCCCCCCTCCCCCAGCACCTGCAAGGCCAGTCCGGCTTCCCTGCCACGCTCCCGCATCCGCGCCACTTACAGCCTTGCCAGGTCTGGCCCGCGGTGAGAAGCACCAGCTCCGAGCCGTCGGGGACGCTCCAGAAGTCTTCTGCGGTCAGCTCCGTGCCGTCTTCGTACAGGCACAGGCGGGAGCCGGCGACAGGGAGCTGCGGGGAGGCAGGGCGGGAGGCTTCGGTGGCGGGTCCCAGGGGCCGTTCCGTCCGCGGTGCTCCCCCAGGCCCCGAAGGATCGCCGGGACGCCGTGCGCATGGCACCGGCGGACGGAGACGGCGGAGCGCGGTCCCGAGTGGCCGCGCGCGAAACAGACACCCTGCGGGTCGCTCCAAAGCACAAGCCACCGGGCCGTGGGTCACGGAGGGGACGCCGTGCGGGACTCGCCACGCTCGCCCTCTGGACAGGAGCTCCCGAGCCCCGGACCCCAGGCTGTTTCCGAGAACGAGGCCTGAGGCCTCCACTCGGCCCGCGGACACCCCGTCAGCAGGGCGCACCCCGGGGCGTCGGCCACACGCGCTCGGCGCACCGCGCTTCCTCGGCGGCCACCGCGCGGGGACGGCTCCTCCGGGAAGGGACTCGGGGCCGAGGGCGGACACCGGCAAGCGGTCGGCTCCAGGGCCGCGCCGGCAGCGCCGCGCACACCCACCCGCGCGCCGCGGCGGTCGGGGCCGACCGGAGCGACGGGCGAACCCGCGGGGACAGCGGCGCCGGGAGGCCTCTCGGGGGCCCGCAGCTCGGCCCTCCGTGCTGCAGAGGGAGAAACTGAGGCCCGCGCAGGCGCACGCGGCGGACGAGCAGGCGCGCGCGGGGAGCGCGCCGAGACCCTCGGGCAGAGCCGCCGCGGTCCTCGCGGTCCTCGCGGTCCTCGCGGTCCTCGCGGTCCTCGCGGTCCTCGCGGTCCTCGCGGCCGGTAGCGGGAGGCGCGGCCCCGGGAGCCCCCACGCACCGCCGCGCAGCGGGGCTCAGGGGCGGGGACACGCGAGCGCGCGCCGGGTCGCCGCACCCAGGCCACGGGTCCCCACACGGGGCGGCACCCGCCCCCACGTCCCCCCGCGCGGGCACCTGCAGGTGGAGGCAGCCCTTCCGCAGCACGTCCTGGCAGCTGCTCCCCGCCACCCCGAACTTCTGGGGGCCGTGCAGGGCCCGCAGCTTGAACGTCTTGGGCTTCCGGGACACCGCAGACATCCTCAGGGCCTCCGACCCCGCCGGCGGGTCCGCGCGCACGCCGCAGAGATCAGCCGAATGGCGGGGGTCCCGCGACCTGGGGGCTCTGCTGCCGGGACCGAGGGCGCGCGGAGTGCCCCGGAAACTCCATTACCCAGAAGGCCAGGGAAAGCGGAGGCGCGGCCTCGCCTTGTGCGCAGGCGCCGTTCTCCAGAGACTCCATTTCCCAGAAGATCCGGGGAAACGGAAGCGCGGCCTCGCCTTGTGCGCAGGCGCCGTCCCCCAGAGACGCCATTACCCAGACGGTCCGGGGAAACGGAGGCGTGGCTCCGCCTTGTGCGCAGGCGCCGTCCCCTAGAGACTCCATTACCCAGAAGGTCGGGGGAAACGGAGGCGCGGCTCCGCCCTGTGCGCAGGCGCGGCCGGGCCGGGCTGGCCTGGTTGTCATGAGAGCGGCGGCGACGGCCCTGGCGCTGGGCGCAGGAGGCCGGGGCTGCTCCTCGGCGGCCAGCGCCGCTGCGGCTCGGGGCTACAGGACGGCGGAGGAGGCGCCTTCTGAGCTCCGGAAGGTGCTGCCGAGGGGCAGCGAAGGGCCCTGGGGCCGTGCAGGCGCCGAGGTCCGGGCGGGCCTTCGGTCCTGACAGGTACCCGAACCCCAACAGCGCGCGGACCCGGGATGCGCGGCCTGGCGGGCGTGGGCGCGGCCGGGGGAGTCGGGGCCGGGGGGTCGGGATGCGGGGCCTGCCGGGGTGGGCGCGGCCGGGGGAGTCGGGGCCGGGGGCTGGGCCCAGGGCGCGGGGCCTGGCGGGCGTGGGCGCGGCCGGGGGCCGGGAACCCGGCCGGGGGAGGGCGCCGCCCAGCACAGGCCCAGGTCGGGTGTGCCGAGGCCTGCAGCGGGCGCCGAATTCAGCGTCGGGTCCGGTCAGCGCGTCCGGACCTCCCTGTTGCGCTGACCCAGACCCCGGCGGAGCCGCGCGAGAATGTGGCTCCGCCCGGTGCGGGGCCGGCGCGTCCCGCACGCCCGCACCCCCTGCCGCGGGTTCAGCCTCAGCCGGGCTCTGCGGCACTTCCCGTCTCTAAGACGACGGAGCGAACGTTATTCACTCGTGTCACATTCGGGTCCCCGCAAAGAGAAAAGTGGAAACGAGGTTTGTCTCCTCGTCTTGTAGCAAAATGTGGCCAAGTTGCGGGGCTGTTTGGGTTTAATTCGTGGATGCCCCAGTCCTGGTGCATGACTGGACCGGCGCCCGCTGCCTGCGCGGGGGAGCCCTTGCGCTCCCTCGGTCGGCGCAGGTGCGACAGGTGCGAGCAGGGCAGCCAGCACGTCGTGGACAGCTGCTTGCCGGCGCGCCTGCTAATCGCTGAGTATGCCAGAGAACTGTGATTTTTCCCAAAATGTTAGTGGTGGTTTTTATAGTCCAATGGCAGCGTCCTTCAGTGACGGCGCAAGCCGCGTGCAACGCTCCCGACACTCTTCCAAGAGGGACCCTGGGGTCCGCGGTGGAAGGGGTCTGGAAGAGGGCGGCCAGAGAGGAATCCCTCGCAGCTACTTAAAGTGAGGCGGTAATGTTGTCCTTGCGGTGCCCGGGCACGTCTCCTACCGGGCTCCTGAATGCCGGCACTCTGTTTTGAACTGTTTGAGGCAGTACAGCATCTGGACACGGTACCGTGGACACCTCTGCTTGGACTTCAGAGGCCCTGTTTGGAGTCTGAGAACCTTAGACTGAGGGTTTGGTCACGATCAGACTCTGGAACCCGTCAGCTGAAGGCACTGTGCCTGCGGGGCTTCCTAGCGGTATCACCTCGAGCAGGGCCTCCCCGGGCCTCCGTTCCCACATCTCTAAAGTCGTGTGAGGACACACCTGTGTCAGTTTTGACGAAGGTATTAGTAGGTGTCCGGGGCTGAGGACCGTCCATGGCGCACAGTAAGTGCTTTAAAGGTAGCACCACCCGCAAGCCAGAGTGTGCGTAAGAGGATGTGTCTACACGCGAGAGGGCGACGCGAATGGTATTTCAGGTTTCAGATGTCAAGAGAAGTCATCCTTTCCGTTGAAAACATTAGTAGACGCCTGCTCACTTCAAGGTGGTCTGGACGCAGTGGGCCCTGCTCTTCAAGATGATGGAAGGATTGGAGAAACTCGGAGCAGAGAGACAGAAGTGAGCTTTTTGGTTCAGGCTGGCAGGACTTCAGGACTTCGGGATGCCGAGAGCTGGTTGGTTGGGACCCAGTCGGCGCTGCAGCCCTGGGCAGGAGCACGTCAGGAGCTCTGCATTACCACACAGATACTGCTGGCCCTGGTTGGGCTTGAGGAGGAACACAGGACAACTGGGGGGAGGGCTCGGGGTAGGGAGACCTGGCCACAGTCGTGGTCATGCTCTAGAAAAGACGGTGGGATGCAGAAGAGTGGGCTCAGTCACAGGCAGTCATCTGAAAGGCAGGATAGACGAGACGTGGCTCGTGATGGGTGGACATGGGGAGGAGGAGACGCAGGGTAAGTTTGGGCTGAAAGCCCACGCCCTGGGAGGAGCTGCGGGGCGTGGAGGACAAATCCCCATGTGGGGAGCACGGGTGGGGCTCTGCAGCCCAGCCCACCTGTGTACGGTCACACCATTTGTCTCGGTGCTTGCCTGTATTTTCTGAGTGGAGTCTACTTTAGCGTTCCCCCGCTCTGCTGTGACATTCTCCAGCTTGTGTCAGGGATTGCCGTCTTTAACAACGGTATATTGTTCTGTCAGTGATGCTCCTGTTCAGACGCTCGAAGAAGCGTTGGCGGGTACCAGCCAATAATTCATTTATTGGTGTAGGTCATTTGAGGTTCTGAATGAAAGGAAAAGTTCTAGATCAGGCATCAGGGATATTAAAATAAGCAAAATCATGCAGGATATGTTTGTATGTTCCCTCCTAGTCAGGATTTCAACTGATGGTATGGCCTATCCCAGAGAACTTTCTGGAAAATTCTTTATTTTCTACCTTAGTGAGGGCTCTTCTTGTTGCAGATGCGTAAAGCTAATTCACACTGGCTTGCTGAAGGGGAATTTGACTGGCGCAGGAACTGGAAAATAACCAGAAGTTTACAAGTAATTTGGGCCTTAAATGTGGCTGAAGCTCAGGGTTCCCAAGCCGTTTCCCCGTGTCAGCCCGCTCTCTGGCAAGACCAGTAGCCCCCAGAAATACTCTACAGCTCCAGCCTCAGCAGGAAGAAGGCTTCTCGGGGCGCCTGGGGGGCTCAGTAGGTTAAGCCTCTGCTTTCCGCTCAGGTCATGATCCCAGGGTCCTGAGGTCAAGTCCCGCATCGGGCTCTCTGCTCCACGCAGAGCCTGCTTCCTTCCCTCTCTCTGCCTGCCTCTCTGCCTGCTTGCGGCCTCTGTCTGTCAAATAAATAAAATCTTTTTTAAAAGAAGAAGAAGAAGAAGGCTTCTCGTTTCCTTGCAGCCCCAGCAGAGTCCAGGGGGTGGAGCCACACTGGTCTAGTTTGGGTCCTCCTCCCGTGTTCCCATCCCTGAACCAGCTGCTGAGGTGGGACGCGGACCCCACGGACCGGCCAGGCCCGGGAGCGGGGCCGGCAGAAACTGCCACTGAGGTGCTGTTCTCAAGCCATCCGTCCTCAAAACGATGGTCAGCTCCGAGCGGTTCGCCGAACAAGGACATAGAAAACTCATCCAACCAGTACTTGAGTACCTCACGCAGGCCCCGGGTGCACGTCTCCTGCCCTGGCACGTAGCTCCCCGTAGTCGCGCCCTCCCTGCTCGCGCCGCCGTTGCATCCAGCGGCTACCGTGCTGTTGATTAAACCCCTTTCCTCCTCGTTTTTGTGTAAGTTGTTAGCATGCTGGTTATGGAAATTTCTTAACTAATATAAAAAACTCGGAGATTATATCTTAACAAAACTCTTCGGTTTTGCCATAACAAAGTGCCACAAAGTGGGTACCTTAGAACATGAGACATGTGCTCCGGAGGCTAGAAACCCGCTCTCCAGGTGTCCGCGGGGCCTGCTCTTTGTAAAGGCTCCACGGGAGGGTCCTTCCTGCCTCGTCCACCTTCTGGTGCTGACAGCAGCCCCGGGTGTTCCTGGGATGGTCTCCTTGTCTGTGTGCCTGTCTGTGTCTCTCGGACGGACCCTGCTTTCCTGGCGGGGCCCACCCACTCCAGCACGACCTCGTCTTCATCCCGTTCCGTCTGCAAAGACTGTTTCCAACAAAGCTCGTAGCCGCGGGTAGTGGGAGTTAGGACTACCTCCTGTTTGAGGGGTACCACCCAGCCCACAACACTGGTCAGGTTTTTAGGACAGACATTTGGAAAAAGTCAAGATAAATGGTACCTTAAGTAGAAGTAGAGGCTCCTAGGAGAAACACTGAGCCCAAAAACTGGTTTTCTTCAAAGCAGTGGAAAAATCCTGGTATGTTGTGGATGATTTTGTCTCTGAGCAAAGCTGAGCTGACACATTCAATGTTGTAAAAGGTTACCAGCTTCCTCTATCTGAAAGAGGTCTTTCCTGTCCTGTAAGCAGCCCGGTGCCAGGATGCCCCACAAGATTGGCTTCGTCGTCGTCAGCTCCTCTGGACATGAAGACGGCTTCAGCGCCCGGGAGCTAATGATCCACGCGCCAACCGTCAGCGGGTGGAGGTCACCGAGGTGGGCCAGGCTGGGACCGTGGGCCGGGGCAGCGGGCTGCCTTCCTCCGAGACTCATGCTTTGTGTCACAACTCGGATCTCAGAACCACGTGCCATCTGTGCGGTGCTGGGCTGAGTTGTTTCCATCTTTATATGTTTCTAAAGAAAATTTTTTGGGACCTTTTCCCTTAAAAGATTAACTGACCTTCACTTAAGATATATGCCACAGAGGACAGGGAGAAGGGACCGCACATGGCTGTTTAGGCAGCTTCCCTGGCGGCCCACTGGGCCTCCCGTCCCAATCCACATTCTGTGCCAGGCTCCCCGGTTTCACAGCTGTGCTCCTGTGGGTCAGATTTTGTGAACCCCAGACTTCAACCAAGAGCGTCTCTTTCTAGTGATTGTCTGGAATATCTGTATGCCTTTACAAATGCCCCTTGCTTGAGTAACATAACACTAGTTAGTATCTGTCCGTGACCTTTTCTGAAAGTAAGCCTTCTTTGAGACGTCTTCGGTCTTCGCCAAGGGTAGGGTCCTGGGTGTTCCGGAGCCCAGGGGCCTGCTCGGGCTTCCTGCCGTGAGGCCGCTCCCCATCCTGGTGTGCCCCCTCCCAGTCCCTGCCTCTCCTGCTCCCCACAGTCCTGTCACCTCTTAGTGTCCCAGAGGGACAGCTGTGATGCATGCTTGAGCTCTTCAAACGACATTTGAATAACACAGTCCTAGACCCATTTTTTGAAGGATCTTAAAAAGCGTACAACTTCCAAATTTTGTCCATGGTTTTCTTTAAACCACTTTGGAGGGGTCTTTTCATAATCGATCCATAAGTGTCTTTGTGCCCGGAGCGACCTCACCGGCGGTTGTAGGGACGTGAGCAGCATTCGAGGGCAGTAAATATCTTAGACACCTGTGGCCGCGCTTGACCGCCGCGGAGGACTGAGGAGCGCTCGTGTCACAAGCCTGTCCTAGCTGTCCTCCTGCCCCAGGCGCACCTCTTAGGAGCGTTTCATCTCTGAAAACTCCAGGCAGCCACACCTCTGGGGTGAAAGTCCACCTGATCTGAGCTCACCTGCCCCCTCCTCAGCGCACGCCCTCCCCCAGCACCCCTGCACACCCCTGGAGTTCGACGCGTCCTGCGCTCAGCCTGGTGTTCCTGTGTGCTCTCCCCTTCCTCCCCTCTGTCATGCTGCTCTGAGACTCGCTACGCAGCAGTGGGTGAAGAGGGCCCTGGGGGCTGGTGGGGCCAGTGCCCAGTGGGCAAAGCAGGGGGATGAGGAGACGGGCTGCCAAGGATGGAGGAGCGTGGCTGGTGTCAGGAGTTTGTTTTCTCTGTCATATCTCATGCCTTTCAGGTGTCCGCATGGAAATGTCAAATCACCAGCTCAGTGATAGGCCTGGACCTGGGGTGATGTCTAGTTGAGGTTCCTTGACAAGCAGGAGGTTTTTAAAGCCAGGGTCTGATAGGCTCCCTGCCGGTCAGTGTAGGGAGGGGAAGGAGCCTGGAACCCAGCCCAGGAGCAGTGCAGGCCCGGACAGAGGTCATACGGGCTCAGGCCTGTGGGCTGAGTGAAGCCGGGACCAGGAAGTACACTTGCACACAGCATCGTGGGGTGCGGCAGTGGCCTTGGCCAGAGTAAGCTGTGGAAATACAGGCCAAGTGCCCTGGAGGGGGCTGGGGAGGGGGTGCATGACAGAACAGCACTGGTTTGCCAGGGCAAGCAAGTGTGCTGGCATGGGACTGAAGGGTGTGGGCTCACAGGAGGGGTTTCCTAAAATGGGGTTTCTAGAGTGTGTTTGTGTGTTGATGGGAGTGATGGGGAGGGAGAAGCCCTGGTGGGGGTAGGCAGGCTCTGGTGCCGTCCAGGGCAGTGAGCAGGGGATGGAGCACCGGCAGGAATGCTGGTCCATTCGGGGAGCAGTGGAGGCAGCCCCATTCGAGGCCTGTTTTCTCGGTGGAGGTGGGGGCCACTGGGAAAGGTGGCGGAGGGAGAGGGAGCCTGGCCAGTGGGCTGGAGCGGACTCCCCCACGAGGCCTCAGGGCCCGTTGCAGCTGTTCCGTCCTTTGCAGCTTCCCCCTCCCAGGGCCTTCAACACCCCAGTGTTCTAACAGCGCAGCGTTTGCCAGCTCGGCACACGTAGCAGCCACCGTCTGGGCGCTGTGCTCTGTGGCTCGGCCACGATCAGATCCTGCAGCCGACGCTGTGGCTGTCCAGCCCGTTCTCATGTAGGCTGCTAATGTGCTCTGTCGCTTAGGAGGCGAAACTAGCTCGCCTGTGGACATCGTGGGTTTCTCCTGCAGACCCCTGAGCTCGTGTGGTAGACACCCCCGCTCGGAGTCCCTGGGCAAGTAGCTTTCCGGAACCGGTGGGTTCCTGCACCGAGCGCTTTGGCTCTGCCCTTCCCACCACTGCAGCCACTTAAGACGGAAGTGTCTGTCTCGTGCTGAACGTCATTGCAGACCCTTTCATTTCAGACCATTTTCCAGCTGCCAAAAGCCTGATTCCCCTCGGGGGTGGGGCAGGCAGATCCACTCCGAACCAGAGCTTCGGCCCCCGCGGACGGCCGGGCGGCGTGCGGGGCGCCGTGCACGCTGCTGGGAGCCCGCGCGGACTGCGAGAGACCCCACGTGTTTGCTTTCAGGTTTTGCCAGTTTCCACAAGAAATCGTTGTTCAGATGGTGGAGAGGTGTCGGGTCAGGAAGCTGCAGCTGCTCGCCCACCAGTACATGATCGCCAGCAAGGTGGAGTTCTACATCAGCGAGAGCCTGCCGGAGTACTTCGTGCCCTACCAGGCCGAGCGGTTCCGGAGACTCGGGTAGGTGACGCGGAAGGCTCCCGACGGGAACTCTTAACCCCACGCCGCGTGTCCGAGCGGCGGGAGCGAAGGGCCCGCCTGTGCCTCAGTCCTGGGTCAGGCTCCCGTGTGGGTCTGAGCCACTGCCTCGGGGGACGCGCCCGGAAGCCGCGCTGTCGGTGACAGCAGCGTCCGTCTCTGCTCCTCAGATGCAGAGCTTGTTTCCGGAAAACTGGGTAGACTACGGTTTCCGGGCTTTTCCCGACGCGTTTCCATCCTAGACTTGACTTTGACTGAAACCCGTTGAGTTCGGTTCCGTTGTGCGCACGTGCTCTGCCCTGTGATTCGGGCGTGTGCTGTCCCTTTCAGCTACGTCTCGCTCTGTGACAACGAGAAGACGGGCTGCAAAGCCCGGGAGCTGAAGTCCGTCTACGTGGATGCGGTAGGACAGTTCCTGAAGCTGATTTTTCACGAGAACCATGTCAACAAGTACAACATATACAACCAGGTGAGACGCGCCCTCCCCGTGCCCGCAGCCCACCTCCTCGCGGCGTCGCGGGGAGGCAGAGGCGTTTCAGATTGCGTTTAAGTTGCTGACTTTTGTGGAAGAGTGAGAGGCTGTCCGGGAGCCGTGCCGTCGGGAGCCGCTGCCCCTCGCGAGGGGGCACGCTGGGCGCCGGGCCGACCCAGGTGCGGGGGGCGCTCAGGCTGGGGGCCCCAACCCAGGGCCTTCGCGTGAGGGAGAGAACCCGTTACGCCGTGAGACGGTGCTGTGGTGCTGTCAGGTTCCAAGGCCGTATCCTCTGCCGCTTCTTCCAATGCGGTGCCGCGTCCACCGGAAAACTCAGAACTACCTCCGTGGCTGCTGCTGCTTCTGCGACGTGACTCTCTCCTAGACACGCCCGCTAACGCTCCACGAGACGAACCCCTGCATGGACTTGGAGACGGGCTTTCACGGCGGCGGCCCGGCTCCGGGTCCTCATGCTTGTCTCTCCCTCCCTCGTTCGGTTCATGCTCCGGCGCGACTCACGTAGTAGAAACGGTCGTGTCCGAAGCAGAGTCTTCAGTAACGTCACGCGGACAGCAGTGCCCGCGCCGGAAGAGCAGGGCTGTCCCCGAGCCAGAGTTGCACAGCCGGCACGTGAGCTGGGGACAGCTCTGAGGTGCGGGTCCATCGCTCGGTCTGCCGCAGCGCGCCACCGCGACCCCAAAGACTGTCGGCCCCACAGCCACACCCCGTCACTCACTTCAGCCGCACTGACGCTCGGGGGGGGGCGTGGGGGAAGGGGCGTCCTCCGCCTCCGAGGGGAGCCATGGACCCAGACAGACCGAGCCGTGCTGACGCGGCTTTCCGTCCCTTGTCTGGTTTTCCAACGTGGAACAGACGAGCTGGGCTCTGCGGGGACGGTTCCATGCGATGCTCTGTTAAAACCGGGGAGGTTGTGAGCCATGACCATCTTAATGTACTTCAGATGTTGAAATAACCATCTGATTAGGCGCTGGAACGTTAACTTGCATCGTTTACAAGAACTGGTAATAATAAACGTATAATGGGACATTTCACAGATAATGCACCTCGGTGCCTGTCATCCCATCTGCGACAGGGTGAGCACAGAGCTTGCCGTAAAGGTGTGCGTCACCTCGAGCATCTCACACTTAATCTCCCCCGCTTCCCTCTCTCTTAGGTCGCTCTGGTTGCGGTGAATATCATCGGAGACCCTGTGGAGTTTGGTGATGAAAGCAACATTGTAAGTTTGGGGAGTTTCGTTCTTAAAGAAGAAAGTGTATTTCTAAAAACAGAGGATTGATTATTTTTGTCATAAAAAGTGTGAAAATCTTTATGAAATGGTTGACTAACTAGCCGATAATTTTTAGCAGCTGTAGCGTATTAAACTTTCTTTTACTCAAGAATTTTAACTCTGTCGGGGCGCCTGGGTGGCTCAGTGGGTTAAGCCTCTGCCTTCGGCTCAGGTCATGGTCTCAGGGTCCTGGGATCGAACCCACATCGGGCTCTCTGCTCACGGAGAGCCTGCTTCCCTTCCTCTTTCTGCCTCTCTGCCTACTTGTGATCTCTGTCAAATAAATAAATAAAATCTTAAAAAAAAAAAAAAAGAATTTTAACTGTGTCTCCAAAAGACTAGGATTCTCGAAGCCTGTAGACGTCTTTATATCACACACCGCCTCTTGGTTCAGGTTTCACGTTGTTCCTGTTTTCCTCTGAGACACTAAGCAGAGCTTTTTCTCCCAAAGTCCTCTAGAGAGAAGCTGATTGACCATTACCTGGGGCACAACAGTGAGGACCCAGCTCTGGAAGGAACTTGTACTGGGTAAGAGTCTCCCCACAAGGCCCTCGCTCCTAGGACTCTCCTCAGAGTGGCCAAAGTGTGAGTCACCTACAGAGGATTGCGGGTTCGAGACCCTCTGAATTCTGTTTGGAACTAGATAAGCCACTGATGGGATTGCCTTAAAGACTCTTAAAGATTAAGGTCACGGTTGGACTTAGCACACCTTCATTTATGGCCCAGCGGAGACCGCTCCGTTTCCTGTGTGCTCACGTCCTGCTTGAGGGCTCCTCCGTGCAGGTGAGAGGACTGTTGCCATCCTGTGCTACTTTACCGGCACAGCCAGCGTCACAGGCAAGAATGGAAGGAATCCGTGAACCCAGATCATCAGTCACTAGAGCTTCATCTGATGTCCACTTAAGCCCTCCGCACTCTCCTCCGCCCCGTGACGGTGGGGCTCCCGCCTCCCTCGGGCTGGTGCCCTCGTGAAGCCCGGGCTGCAGGCCCAGGGAGGCTCCCCCAGAAGCAGAGCTCGCTGTCCGCGGGCTCGCACAGTTGGCACAGCCAGTGGCTCCAGAGTGGCCGCAGAGAGAATCTCTGCATGTTTCCTGCAAGCGCAAGAGCCCACTTCAGAGCGAATCGCCTCGTCAGCGGTTTGGACGGTCTTGCTTCCTGTGGGGCCTCCCTGGGCCTCCAGCCTGGCTGCCACGGGGTGTCCGGGTGGGGACCGCCACACTGTCCCCACCGTCTGTCGGCCCCATCCCCGGGACAGCTCTTCGGCTCTGCCCCCACTGAAGCCCCAGTGGCGGACGGCGGGCAGCCTACCCAGCGGCCAGTCTGAGGGTCTCCCGTGGGGGTCGTTTGGGTCACTCGGACTCTGATTAAATGAGCTGAGGGCAGTGCGGCCCCATACACGCCCCACGAGTTCCTGATCAAGTTGGCCCCCTGGCCGGGCCGACTGCGGTTTGTCTGTCCTGACTCCTCCGCAGGGCTTTCCGGTCTGTGGAAGGCTTGTGTGCGGGGCCCAGCCAGGGCCACCGCTGGGGGGCATTCGTGAGTCGAGCAAGACCTGTTCTGGGGAAGCGCCCGCGTTCCTGGAGCTGTGACTCCCAGGCCAGATGATGGCGTGTTTTTCTGTGGAGCGTTTTCATAACGAAGTCTTTGTTCTCATCTCTAGGACTTGACTTAGAAATACAGTATGTGTTTCGGTAGAAATAGTTAAGCTTGTGCCAATACCACAGCGTCTTGCTCTTCAGTCCTCGTGAGATTAATTGATGTTCCGAGCTGCGGAGGCTGAGCCCGCCACCAGGCCTGGCGGAGCTGCCGTAATGCGCGTCCTGATCTCCAGGAGTCGGGAAGTGCGGGGGGGAACGCGTGATCGTTCTGAGAAACGATGTCATCCTGGGTCCTGTTTCAGTTTATTTTTAGACAATCAGATCTTTTGTGATAAGTAATACTGCCATGGAGACTCGCCCATATCTAAGGTATCCACGTCACCGCCGACGACTGGCTTACCCTGTGCGGCCGGCGTGGCAGGCGGAGACTGGGAACGCGTCCTCGGTGTGCACTGCTGTTGGGCGCTGAGCCGGGCGCTGCGCCGTTAGGCCCCAGAGAAAGCTGCGGCCGCTATAGGGTTTGAAAGGAAGAATGAGATAATCAGGAATGGGTTGCTCAGGTCACTAAGCAGAACTGTGACTGCCGGGAGGACTTTTCTGACCTCCCAGGACTTGGGATACCGCGCAGCCTGACCCTCTGAGCTGAGGCCGCGGTGTAGCCCGCCTGCCTCTTCGGTGCTTATCGCAGTCGCTGTGGCGCTGGTGCCGAATGTGGACGCCTGGACCACCGCGGACCCACTGAGTCAGCCTCTCTGAGCATGGGGCCTGGCGGTCTGCTTTGGCTTGGGCTTTCCCCCAGTCTCCAAGTGATTCATGGGCACAGGTGTGTCCCCGATGCCCAGAACAGAGCCGGGCAGAGTCCACACTCAAAGTATTTATGGAACAATGACCGCACCGAAGGCTCAGTTGCCCCTGGAACAGTTTAACTAATGTCCAGGAGACCTGCCTGCCCGTAAGAGCTGGGTGGCCTGAGGCCCCTTCCTGGTTATTCTGAGCTTCCACTGTCTCGGCAGGAATGCCCCGGGAGCAGGTGTGTGGGCTGCCACGGCTGCGACCGAACCCCTAGCAGGAGCGCAGAGGGCTCCCTCTACCACCGCCCTGGCCCCCACGGCAAAGTTAGCTCTAAAAGGTTCATTTCTTTCCTTTAGGAAATCTGACGATATTTCTCCGCTAGACGACTTAGCTTTTGACATGTATCAAGATCCAGAAGTAGCCCAGATCATACGGAAATTAGACGAGAGGAAACGTGAAGCTGTCCAAAAGGAGCGTTACGACTATGCCAAGAGGCTAAAACAAGCTATTGCTGATTTGCAAAAGGTACGGCTCCTGGAGAGAACGGCCTTGGCGCGGGCGTGGGAGGAGGCGGTCAGTGGCCCTGACCGCGGGCGCAGCAGAGGCGTAGGTCGCTGAAAGCTGTAGACACTAGTGTGGGTCCGAGGAGGTCAGCAAAATAAAGTTATGGACGGATGAGCCCCTAGAGGAAATGTAGGTGAAGCCACGCGCTTACTCTGTCCTGACGCCGTCCCCAGACGCTACACGGCCGTCCTGAAGTGATAGAAACACCGAGACGTCTCCTGTCCCCGAGAACTTGGCGGTGCGGGCCAGCGCACCTGCTGTCGTGGGGCCCGTGCGCGGCGCCCCCACCCCCTGAGCAGGCTCCGCGGGCGGGCGGCACCCCCGTGCCCCGGGCCTCGCTGCACACCGGCGGGCGGGGGGAGTGGGGGGCGGAGGCACGTGTGAAGCGGCGCGGCCCCGTGTGCTTCAGGTCGGGGAGCGGCTTGGGCGGTTCGAGGTGGAGAAGCGCTGTGCGGTGGAGAGGGAGGACTACGACCTGGCCAAGGAGAAGAAGCTGCAGATGGAGGGGTTCCGCAGCCGGGTGTACGAGCAGCTGCAGCGGCACAGCCTCGTGGACACCGAGCCGGTGGGTGCCCGGCCCTGCCCCGCGGACCCACGTGTCCTCCGAGGGCGCAGGGGAGCGCATGGCTCCGTCACCAGCAGGCCACGGTTCCGATGGGCGGCGTCAGCTCCGGGACCCACGTCGGAGGCGCTGCTGGGCACGCGCTCGCAGGCAGACTCAGGGCAGGGGGTGCGGGGACAGGCCCGGGATCTCGCCTCTCCTCCCCAGCTCGCCCTCCTCATTTGTGAGATGACCTGAGGGCAGGGCTGCCCCACGTATACCTCACGAGCGGCCACGGGGTGGGGGGTTGTGTGAGGAGAACCCTAACAGCCTCGGCTTGTCGAGACCAGTGTCCTGGAAGACGCTCTGCCACGGATCTCTAGAAGCCCCAGAGCAGCAGGTGTGCGACCCGCATGGCACAATCACGCGGGATAGGACAGACCCTGGAGCCACGCTGCCTGGGCTCCGATGCGGCCCCCTTGCTGGCAGTGTGATCTCAGGGTCCTTCCTTAGCCGCTCTCAGTTTCCCTCTCCCATTTATGGGGTAACCTTGTGCATTAAATGAGAACATCTGTCTGGCACGTTTACTGGCATGGCAGGCACACGGTAGCCATGTCGCAATGACCCAAAACAGCCTGTTCTTGCCCCCATGGGGTGCACGGCCACACCAGGGCTGGGGACGCCCAGGTGCTTCCTACCCCACGTGCCGCGTCCCTGCTGACAGGTGTGTATGCGTGCTTCCACACTGGGTGACCTGGGCCCCGGGCTTGCCATCACGCTGGCGCCCGGGTGGGCTCTGTAGGGCACACAGCCACTGTCAAGAGACAGTTGAAAGCCTGAGATAGGACTGGGGGCACTGTTGATGCAGATTGTCACTCTGCCTTCCTAAAGGCTTGTGTCACCCCTCTCCCCCGAAGGGTGTGGCAACAGCGCTAGGAGTGAAGTGTCCCGTTTTTCCCCAGATGCGAAGGGCTTCTGACCTGCCCCTCCACCCCCTGGCTCACTCCACCAGTCCTCGCCACCCACAGCCAGTGCCATCTCTACTGCAAGAAGAAAGTGCACCAGAAAGCCGGTTTGCAGAGCCTTGCCTTCAGGACAAGCCTCCAGCGCATCCCCGGGGCCCTTCTCAGCACTCTGCAGTGGACCTCACACCGCCCGCCGCAGACCCCCATCTCAAGACCCACGTAGGTAACTCGGCTGTGTGCGGTTCATTGAGCAGACACACAGGGAGGACCCATGTGGTGCCAAGGGTGCACGACGGCAGAACCTTCCTGGCCTGCGTTCCAGGAGAGGGTAAATGTTGACGCCAGAGCGTGGGGGGCAGACGTAGCCAGCAGGTAACGACATGTCACTGGAGGTCCTGTCCGCAGGCAGAGGTGTCAGGCCTCCCTGTTTCTGTCCCATCAGCCGGTCGTCCGGGACACCCCGTCCTTCTGAGCCTTGCCTTTCCTCTCTGTACAGATGTGTGAGCCTCTGCTTGAAGGTTTGTTTCCGGGGACAAACGAGACCATGTTTGTGGGGTGCCCGGCACGAACCGGCTGCAAGAGAACCTCCACGCGAGTCATGCGTGGTTACCGTGCTTGGAGGGTTTCTGTGCTGTGAGTCCCCGAGCACCTTGCTCAGACGGGGCCACTCGGGACATCAGAGCTCGTGTAGGCTTCAGGGCCCGGCAGCTCCGCAGTGTCCTCAGCAGCTGCTCTCTTCCTGTCCCTCCTCTCCGTTTCCGTGGCTCCCAGTCTCCCCAGAGCTGGAGCTGTCACACGGCCCTCAGCTTCACGTCTGCACACTGTCCCCTCGGAGCGGGAGTGCGTCCCATTCTGAGCAAGAGTCTCTGAGTTTGTCAGTCACGTGCCCGCCTCCGAGTGAGGACGAGGACCGAAGGAGGACCTCGCTGGAGCCCCAGCGGGCGTGCAAGGCGGCATGGCCGGTGGACTCTGGGGAGGGAGGCGGGTGTCAGGTGGGCACGGGCAAGTGGGTGCTGCAGCCCGTGGCCCAGGAAAGCCAGAGAGGATGGCACTGGCGCTGCTGCCCTCCCAGGGCACCGCTCTGAAGGCCCCGTCATCCCCACTGGGAGCATCTCCTCTGTAGCATCATTACTCCAAGTCACATTGAATATTTTTGTAAAATGCCCTAATTTTCCCTTTGTCCGCATGTCAGCGTGTTTTGTTTTACAGCAGAGTAGATTTTAGAACACAAGTACCTCACCTGCACGCGCGCCCAGTTAATAAGTCAGCGGGTGTCCAACGGGAGTGTCACTGTGACACCTGCCTCGGAAAATGACTCTGGAATCTGTTCCCGCCTAATTTCCCGAAAGGTTGCCACCTATGTACGTGTCAGGTGGCCTGGGGATGGAAGCCCCAGGAGGTGGGGTGTCACCCATCGCATGGCGAGGGCCCAGCGAGCCTCTGCGGGGTTGGGGGGTGCGTGTGGCAGACTGCCGTCCGCCCAGAGCGCAGGAAGGCTGTAAAGGGTCGTGAGCTTGGCTGTCTGCTTTAGTATACACCTGCCAGGTAACGGTCAATTTAAAATGAGGCCTGATACCTATTTCTAAGTGACAGACTAAGGAAAAGAAGTCTTGTCAGGGAAGAAGACATAATAACTTTGCCGCTGTAAGCTTCACGTCCGCTGAACTGTGATCAGTAGTGCTGGGTGGCAGCCGAGGCTAAATCTGGGTCGCTTTTCTGTTGGGTCTGCAGTGCGCTTAGAGAGGTGTGGAAGCCGTGATCTCATGTTTTCAGCTGAATTCTGTCGTATAAATTACTCTGATCTGTTGCAACTGCTGTCGTGCGGAGCAGGAGGCCTTCGGTGTAGACGTGGTGGCGGCAGGTGGGGAGCCCGGGGAGCTCTGCAGCCGCCCTTCCTCTCCCGTAGCTCCCGTCTGTGCCCTACGATGAGCGGCCCCTTCCTGCCTCGCGGAAGCAGCCGGCAGCGGCCGCCCTGGAACCAGAAAAGAGTGACACTGATACCAGCGAGGCTCCCAGAGGAGGAGCCGCTGGAGAGCCGGAGCCCTTGACCGAGAAGGCCCTGAGGGAGGCCGGCCCCGCCGTGGATGTGCTGGGAGAAAGCCTGGTAGGCCGAGGGCCACGGGCGGGTCTGGCCGATCGGGTAGGAAATGTCCAGGGATGCGCCCTCGGCTTTGTGACATCGAGGCTTCCCTTTGGACTCCATATTCAGCCGAAGTCTTTCAATGATTATTAATTATATAAAACACCAGAAACAGGCTAGAATTTAAGATTCTGTGAATGCATGTTCCTTTTAGACTGGGGGTTTCTGTCTCGTACTGACAGAGCTGGGGTTGAACACCCAGGGCGGGTGGTGGCAGAGAGACCAGAAGACGAGGTGTCTCCATATGGAAATGAGCCCAGTGGGTTTTCCCCGCGTTCCCAGGATTTCTCCTCGCGGAACTTCTACTTCCCGTATTTTAACAGGCTTCAGGCTTCAGCATTGCAGTGTTAGAGAAATCACTTCCCTAAACACACACGCTTACTCTGTTCCAAGACTTTTCTCCGCGTGTTGGGTTGCGCGGTGTCGGGGGGTGGCGTCGCTGCTGTGCCCGCTGAGTCGGGCCGGCCTCCGCTCTGCGGTAGGTCGCAGGGGCCTACTCCAGGACGTGGTCATACCGGGAGGACGCCTTGCTCGCCCTGTACAAGCGGCTGACGGAGATGCCCGCTGGGGCCCCGAAGGAGGAGCTGAAGAGCACACTGCGCGCCTCGGTCTTCCTCGTGAGAAGGGCCCTCAGGGACATAGTGACCCCGGTGAGTGCCCTCTGCCCTCAGAGTCCCGGCTGCGGTGCCCCAGGGGCTTGGGTGGCCCGGGGATAGCACAGCGTGTCGCTAGGCATGAAGGTTCTCCAGCAAGAAACGTCAGCGAAGAGCCTGTGCCGTCTGTCCTCAGGGGGCCATGCGCGCTGCCCTCGACCGCCATCAGCCTCCCCGCGCCCTAGAAGCCAGGGTCCGCAGAGGCCCGGCTCCCAAGGACCGGTGAAATGCTCGGTTCCCGATTTTCCTTTTCGCGGAACCCGAGGAGCTTGGGTTTATTCTGGATTCCCTGGGCCATGAGAGTGAGCACGCCCGGGGCACACTGCTGCACAGCCGCAGCTGGGAGGGCTCGGGGTGTGGCCCCCAGGCCGCCGCCACCGTCTGACAGGTGAGATGAGAGCGCGCCCCTTCCGGACGCGGCACGGTATTCAGAAGGTGGTTTCCAGCTCGCTGTCCCCAGCCTCTGGGGCAGCACGGGTTGTCCAGCATAATGCCCGTGTTTGTCACCGGTGGTCAGTGTGTTTTCTTTGCTGGGGTGCAGTCACGGGAACTCCTCTGCTTTTACCGCTTTTTTCTAGGTTTTTCAGGCTTCTTTAAAATTGTTGAAAATGATGATTACGCAGTACATTCCTAAGCACAAACTGAGTAAGCTTGAAACCGCTCACTGTGTGGAAAGAACCATCCCCGTCCTGCTCCCCAGGACTGGAGACTCCTCGGCTCGCCTCCGAGTCGTTGCCTCGAATTTTATTCAGGTACGAGCTTCGTCTTAAAGTTCGGAACAGTCGGTGAGGAGCCCGTTACGGCGCTGTTTGACCGTGCGACTACCTTAGCCGCTCCTGCTCTCCTGAGAGCGTTAGCGATCCTGCTGACTCCCTGTCCTGCTTGCCTGGGGCTCCGAGAGCCGGAGTCCGCCTTGACGAGAGTCTGACGCCTTCCGGCAGAAAGACGCGGAAAACCAGACGGGAATAGAAAACTGGGGGTAAAGAGACCGTAACGGTGGCATGACTCAGTCTGGAGAGTCCTGTTCGCTCAACAGGCGCCTCCCCCAGGCCACGCGCTGTGGGGACAGCGAGAGCTCTGGGGGCTCGGGCCCTGAGTGAGACCCGCGCGTGGGCTTCAGCAGGTCCCCGGGTTCCTCCCGATCCCATCAACACTCGGTTGGGAAGGACTCCGCAGCTCTCCCGCTGTCTCGGGGGTCGCGGTTGCAGCGTGAGGAGCACCCGTCCCACTTCCTTTAACCTGAGCCCTGGGGGAGAATGAGCGGCAGTAGGCGAGGCTGACGGGGAGGTGACGCGTGCTCCAGTCCTGCGAGGGGCTCCCGCTCCGCGGGGCTCCGAGTCTGGGGCAGGTGGCGCCTCTCGACAGGCCCGTTGAAAAGGAGAGTGTCATTCCTCCGTTTCCTCGTGTATTTTTTAAGGGAGGAAGAGGAGGTGGAGACGAGGGGCGAGGCTGAGGGGGAGAATCCCAAGCAGGCTCCCTGCTGAGCAGGAACCCAGTGCAGGGCTCAGTCCCGTGACCCCGAGATCAGGACCTGAGCCGAAATCAAGAGTCGGGACTCAACCGACTGAGCCACCCGGGAGCTCCCAAGACGGATTTCTGGGTGTGTCGCGGCCCACGGGCTCCAGCCTCTCGTCAGTCCTCCTCCTGCGTCCGGCTGCCCGAAGGCTGAACACCTTAATCACAGAAAGGCTTGCTCATTCCGTGGGGCCTCCCACGCCCCCGTGAGCCCACAGGGGTCTCGCCACGCAGAGACCGCGCGCCGCTACTCTCTAGGCCGACGGATCATAGATAGTGACACGATATCATTTGTTTTAGAATTTTAGAAACTAGAAGACCTTTTTCCTGAAGTTGGGAAATCCCGAGGAGTGAAACCTTTAGTTTTAGATCACATTTCTTGTCCAGGCGTCCTTTGTCTGTGAGTGATCATGTTTTATTTTTTATGATTTGGGGTTTTGTTTTGAATCATTATATCTTAAATAGAACACATGCGCATTAGAGATAAACTATTTTACTGCCGTATTTTATTCCCTATTTTTTCCTTCGACATTGACCTCGAGGACTGAACTGAAGTATACTAACCTGCCTCTAGCATTGTCCAGCACATATTCACAGTCGTGTTGGTTTTCCTAGGAAATGGCCTTGTTCAAGGAAGTCAAGTCTCTCCAGATTATCCCGTCGTACTTGGTGCAGCCGTTAAAAGCCAACACTTCGAACCACCTGGCCATGAGCCAGATAGGCCTCCTGGCCCGGCTTCTGAAAGACCTGGGCACCGGGGGCTCGGGCTTCTCCATCGACAACGTGATGAAGGTAAGCTCACCGCTGGTGCCATGCGGCCGAGGCCTCGGCGCTTGCGGTGGGCCTGGAGCGGGTGGGAGCCTGGACCGTCAGTGTTTGTCGAGTGAGTGAACGAGTGAACGGCGGCAGAGAAGTAGCCACCGCTTCACCTAGCAGAGGAGGGCACCGGAAGGCTTCCGGCTCCTCGCTCTGCCGCGGGGCACGCATGTATGGACACTGGTCCACGGTGGCGGACGGACTACAGAGAACCCGTGTGCCTGAGGACACCCCGTGGTGCAGCAGGACCGGACGCCCTGACGAAAGCTCGGACGTTCTGGGAGAGAGACTACCAGCGCAAGGAGTCCCTCCCTGATTTCAGATGTGCGGGAAGGGAGCTCGGAGCGCGGCCGGCACATGGCCAGACGCCGAGCTGTGGCACTCTCACGACAGCTCGTCCCCGGGCAGCCCACACACAAGCGCTCTGCGTTTGCTCCCATCCATGCGGGAAGGGGTGGGTCTCCGTGGATCCCACATGTGCAGCGACTCGGAAGCCTGGACTGGGTCCTCATGGAGTCACATGTGCCGTCAGGAGAGGCAGGAGCAAATCATGCCACTTCCATTCCTGTGTTTTCTCTACTGGAGTGTGATTTAGACACTGAAGTAAATAAGCCTTCGGACACTCCCTCCTCTGGCTTCTGGAGCTCCGTGCCCCACGCACCCCACGCTTGGCCTCGTCGTCTGGGTCTCTTTTCTGGTTTTTCTTCATCCTCCTGATCTCGTTAACTTTGGAGCGTCCAGGCCTCCTTTTCTCATTTCTGTGCACACACCTTCCCTCGGTGACCCATCCGTGGAAGACACAGTCTCTGTGCCTGCGCCCCCCGGACGCCTGACTCCTCCAGCAAGCCGTGTCTGCCCCTCGTCCCAGTGGAGCACCGGCCCTCCCCTCTGACCTGCTCCGTCTCAGCCTTCCCCATTCCTGTAAATGACAATGGCGTTCTTCTCTTTGCTCAGCAAGGGCTGTGGCTCTTCTGCAGATACATCCAGATGCTGGCCAGGCATCCCCACGCCCCTGCTGTCCTCAGGTTCGGCCCCTGTCATCACTTGCCTGGCCGGCCACTGCCAGCTCCCCAGTGGACTTCTCCTCCTGACTCGCCGTGCAGTCACATGGACCACTCTCTGTCTTGCCTCCAAGTGCAGTTTGCTTGTTCCCCAGCACAGAACACGAAGCCTGCCCCATTACACATTGCAGTTCCCGTTACACAGCGCCCTGCTTCGAGATGCCGGCGTTGGCGTCCGTCCCAGTCCGCTGCAGCGGCAAACACACACCTCAGCGGGGTAGCATGGGAAGCGTTGGTCACAATGCCGGGTGGTCCCGTGCAGCTCGCCAGGAGAGCTGTCACTCTGCCCCACACGGGCTTTCGGGCCTCCATCTCTCCACTAGGACACCACCAGCTTCTCACACGACTCGGGGGTCACTGAACAGACGAAGTGAGTCGGGGTGGTGAGGGGGTCTTTGTGGGCCGGGCCGCTCCCACCCACCCTTCCCCGGACGGGCACTTGGGCCCGGGACGCGTGGCATAGCTGTGCCCGTGGAAGAAGGCAGTCGGCTGGTCAAGCACGCGTCTGTATCTGGGTCCCCCTGCACGTGGGAAGGATGGATCCAGGTGGAGGAAAGAGAAGAAAGAGGTAAAGAGAAGTTGGAAGGAGGGGTCAGTTCCGGCAGGAGCGGAGTCCCCCAGTGGCCGACGGGATTGGGCTCTGACGTAGCCGCAGGAGGGCTGGCTGCATGCGGAGTGGGGAAAGTGCATCCTCTTCACGGACGAGGTCTGCTTGAAGCCCGATCGGACACTGGAGTTTGAGAGACAGGAGCGACATATGAAACTGCCCCTTGACGTCTGAGCAGCTGAACTGACCAGAAATGCCTCAGGTCGGGACACTCTGCGCTTCCCAGGACGCCCGTGGCACCTGTTGGGGCAAGTGTGGCACGGGGCCAGTCAGCGTGCTTCTCAGGTCTGCAGGCACATTCCGTTTGGCCCGTGACTACACAGGAAGAAGGGATCCCGAAGTGACTTAGTGATGGACACGTGGGACAGGAAAGACTGCAGGGAGGTGACAGATGGGAAAAGACAGTGGTGGGTCCAAAGTGGACCAAGGGCCCCAGTGGGGCTGAGGAATTGTCCAGGGAGGGAGTACAAAAAAGTGGGAAAGGTAGAAGGTGACCTGCAGAGGGTGGGACTCCTAGAGGCCAGGACTCCTCGGGGCAGTGGCACAGTTGGTGGCCGGGCCCGGGGTGGAACCAGGAGCCTGTGGCAGGCCAAGATGGTGGAAGTGCGAGGCCAGTGCCCAGAGCCCCACGGGCAGATGTCAACTTTCTGAGCATGGTAGGGACGGCGCGGGATGGGACAGAGGTGTCACGGCGGGTCCTTGTGACACCACACCATAGAGCAGCTAAAGTGGATCGTGGCCAACGAACGTCCATGACAGGAATGTGGGGTAGGGAGAAGGGAGGTTTCAAAGAAGGACAAGCACAGTGTACTATTGAGAATGTCCAACAAAACCCCACGTATGCACCCAGCACGCACGCGCACACCCAGCACGCACACACAGATGCGCACACACACACACACACACACACACACACACACTAGTGAGCGCGCGTCTGGGTGGGCCCCAGAGGCTTCTGCTACCATGTTTCGTTTCTTAAAGATCCGAAGCAGACATGGCCAGATTACAATGTCGGTTAACGTGGGTGGTGGACACGTGAAGTTTCTCATGTTTCCTCTTCTCTGTGATTGGAAGATTTTATAATATATAATTTAATATGAGTCTATGCGAGGATGGAACCTAGAAAATGTTTGTTGGCCTGTGAGTGCAGAGCTGCGTGTGTACAGCCAGCGTGAGCTCCGCTGCGTGTGTGAGGCAAACGGAGAAAAACTCGGTGTCGTGATAGCCAGAGTTCTGTGGGTGGTGGTCTTTTTTTTCCTTTTCAAACTTGTATAATGTGCCACTATTTCTTTTATGCTGGGGAAAAATAAACTCTGTTATTGTCAGACTCAGTCACCACAAGAACCCCTCCTGACCTGTGTTCAGTTTTCAGTGAGCGCCCTGGAGCACAGAGTGTATGAGGTCCGCGAGGCCGCGGTTGGAGTCGTTTTGGACATGTATAAGCAGCACCGGGCTCTTATTCTGGAGTACCTCCCTCCGGATGACAACACCACGCGCAAGAATGTTCTCTATAAAACAATTTTTGAGGGATTTGCTAAAATCGATGGCAGACCTACAGATGCTGAAATTAGGGTAAGTCAACTTTTATGAAATTACGACTTAATCCTCTGTTGAAGCTGTTTGGTCACCCAATAAACCGACAGATTGTTCAAGGAGCTTCAGGTGCAGGAGACCAGGGGAGCTCCCCTGGTTCAGGTCCTGGCTGCTGCACACCCTGCCTGGGAGACTGTCTCCCCGTCCACGAACAGGAACAGTGACAGCCGGGAGGACGTGTGCGTTTTATCCGTTCATCGGGTGAAGCTGGGCAAGGTGGTTTGACCCCAGTTGTATTGTTAGCCTCAGTGACTGCCGTACGTGTAAGAAACGTAATTCACGTGCCATCATGTTCTCCCGATTTGTAAGACTACCCTAAAATACTATTGTAATGGCATTTTATTCTAATTTTATTCTAATCTAATTTTATTCTAATTCTAATATTCTGATTTCAATACCAGGCACAGAAGAAAGCAGCTACAGAAGAAGCCGAAAAACGAAAGAAAGAAGAGATTAAAGCTTTGCAAGGGCAGTTGGCCGCGCTCAAGGACACTGAGGCCGAAGCCCAGGTTGGGAAGGCCACCGTCTCCCCCACCCGCACGCTCGCGGACGCCCTGACTGCTGTCCCGCAGACACATAGACGGCGTGCTTGCTTTCCTCTCACGGCGCGATGTAGATGAGACCTGTAGGCTGTGTTGCTCTTTAAAAACTAGCTTCGGGTTGCATAAAAGGAACCGTCCGTCAGCTAGTTGGAATTAGGTACTGATTCCAGGGAGTGGCTTGAGCTGCTGGCGATGGTTAGAGAGGAAACTCCAGGACTAACGGCAGGAGGTGCAGGACACATTTCCTCTTCGCAGCTCCTAGCCTCCCTCAGAGGCAAAGGACGAAAAGAAGCTTGTAAGTGAAGATCCGATTTCCATGCACTGAAGAAGGCAGGTTTCAGGGAACAGTTCCCCCTCAGGAAGTCTCTGGTCCTCAGCCTCCAGGAGATGCCATCCAGGGTGTCAGAGAGTGACTGCCCTGTTTCTGGGATTTACACCAGTTTCAGGATGTTCACTTTGTCATTCAGGCCCTTAGGTTGAAAGAAAAGGGGAGGGTTGGGAGGAGCCCATCAGGGAGCACGAGGTTTCAGGGGTGCGGGAAGAGAAGGTTCTAGAGTGTGCTGCATGGCCCGTCCCTGGTGACGGGACCACACTGGGCCCGCACAGGCTGCTAGGAGGACAGAGCTCGCGGTGAGGGTTCTTGCCAGGCCTCAGAGAGAGAGAAAGCAGCTGAGTGTGTGCTGGAGTGCCTGTGGCCCAGAGCCGTAGTGACGATTCGGGAGGCGCTGGCCTCTGGGAAGAAGAAGACAGAAGGGGAGGGGCCGTGGGGGAAGGGGGCTCCTGGGGTTGGCGCCTCACACCATGGAGTCAGGGTGGTTCTTTTTTTTTTTTTTTTTTTAAGATTTTATTTGTTTTGAACAAGAGAAGTGGGGGAGAGGCAGAGGGAAAGGGAGAAGGAGGCTTCCCGCTGAGCAGGGAGCCCTGTGCTGGGCTCAGTCCCAGGACCCTGGAATCATGACCTGAGCCGAAAGCAGGTGCTTAATTACTGACCCCCCCCCCCGCCAGGTGTCCTTCAAGCGTGGTCCTTTAGGGCATCCATGTTTCGTCCGATTCTCACAGCCGCCTGCCAAAGCAGGTCCAACTTCCTAATGTTATACAAACGAAGAAACAAATTTATTTATTTATATTTTGAGAGAGGAAGAGAGTGTGAGTGGGGGAAGGGACAGAGACGGAGAGAGAATCTAAGCAGGCTCCACGCCCAGCACAGGGCCCAACACAGGGCTTGATCTCACGACCCTGAGGCCATGACCTGAGCCAAAATCAGGAGTCAGACGCTTAACCCACTGAGCCACCCAGGCGCCCCAGTGGGGAAGCAAATTTTTAAAAAACTAAAGTGACTTAAAGCACAGACCTCTCAGGGGTTGAGCCAGGACAGCCAGACTATGCTGCTCACCAGCCCCCTCCCCATCACAGCACTGAGCCACAGGGAGTCCAGCCCCCGATGGTGCGGGTTCCACTAAGGCCATGTGCACCCCACAGGTATCTGTGGACATGGTACTGGGTAACCTCATCCTTCAGCTTTCCCGGCACCTTCATCACTTCTCCGTTTGTTACGTGTTTGCTGAGCACCTGCTCGGTGCTGGGCATGGTGCTGGGCTCCGGGAATAAGCCGGGAACAAAACCAAGTCATGACCCCTCCCCAGGGCCACGGCTCCAAGGGGAAGAGACAGTGAAAGAAAGCGCAGCACAGGGTAGAGCGCACAGTGGGCACGGACGTCAGCCCGCTGTCTTCAAACAGTCGCTGACGATGCTGGGATCTCTTTCTCTGTTGTTTTTATCGCGGTAAAATATTCATAGCATGTTTTAACCCATTGTAACCGTAATGGAATGTACACTCTGTGCCACTAAGTGCCCTCACGGGGCTGGCACCAGGCCCACCATCCAGCTCCAAAACTTCCGTGAATGACAGAATTTTTAGACCGCCTGATCGCTCCAGAGTTTTAGCAAAAAGGATTTAGAAGTTACTGATGGGTTTCCCAAGCTCTTACCAAGAAGGTAACACTGGAAACTGCGATTCAGGTTTCAGCGTTGTTTACGTGGTCTCCCTGCAAAACGCACAAACCCATCTCTCTTAAGAGGTTTTGTTGCCTAAAATCCAGTGCCACAGAGTTTGCCTTCCATGTAGGCACAGAAATCGTGTGAGCCAGGCGCCGGCCTCATGTAGTCTGCTGCCCTCCCCAGCTCTAGGGTGGCATCGTGCGCTGTGTCTCCCTCTCCAGGCCGGGCCGCGACAGAAGTCACTTACTGTGATGCGAGGCTTGCTGCTCTCAGACACGGCAGACCATACCCATGTTTGTAGCTCGTCCCTTACGTGCTGGTGTGGGGCCGCCCACTGTCCCTCGTCTCTGAAACCGAGAGTCCAAGAAGGCCTTCAACCCCTGCCCCAGACCAGGCTGGTTGGTCCCCAGAGTGCTGTGACGCGCTCCCGACATGGTCAGTCTTTGTAGGGACGATGGCCGTGTGCGGGCAGCTGAGGAGGAGACATGCTAACATGGCTCCCAGAGCTCTGGCCGGGGGACTGTGGGCAGCCCAGGAGCTGCGGTGGGAAGGCCTGAGCCCCCGTGCAGCTGGCCACCCGCAGTGACACTCAGCTGCTCGTAAGGGACCCCTCTGTCCACTCCACGTCTTGGAGCTCCCCTGCGTGCTTAGCACCCCAGACACTGTGTCTGACCCAGGGAAGGGGCCTGGCGGGAGGAGCAAGGCCTGGCCCATCACACCGGTGGCTGCCTTGCTGCCCGGTGTCTGTCTCAGCATGGGAACGCTATTATGCCAAGTTACCCGCTGAGTCCACAGGCGCGCAGGGGACCATGTGTGCCAGAGAGGGAAGTCTCTGTTGGGGACCCTCACCTCTTTCAGTGGTGTCCGACGGTGATGAGGATACACAGGGAGTGTGTGAGAGCGGCCAGGGCTGACGAAGGGCTCGAGGAGAGGGCCTGCTGGCTGCTACCTTGCCCTCAGGGGGCTGGGGTGGGGGGAGACTGGGCGAGAGGAGGAGAGGGCCGAGCTTGGGTGCCAGGGTCCTTGGAGGGGCGGCTGGAACCCGGTGGCTGGTGTCCAGAGACCACTGCAGACACGAGATGAGGGAACACGTGACTTAGGAAACCGGCTGAGAGTCTCGGGCAAGAGTAAATTAGCCTGGCGAGGCTTTCACGGGCCGACCGGCCTCTGCATGGGAGGGCCCCCAGAAGCAGGGCCCCCAAGCTGGTGAGAGGAGGCCCGGCCTGAATGGGGAGAAGGGAAGGCGTCTGTGGTCTCCCACAGTGTGCGCCGGGGGCTCCGGAGCCCGATCTGCAGCCAGGCAGGCTGGGGCAGCTGCTCAGCCTGGGCAAGAGAGGCTGGGTCCTGGGACCTTCAAGGAGAGAGGACTTGAACCCTTGGTCATCCCCACTGAGGACTGTGAGCCTGGGAACTGGGAAGAGCATACCTAGCATGAGAGCCAGAAACGGGGAGGCAGCTAGGGAGATGGGGCTCGTGGGGCGCCGCAGGCATCCGGGGACGAGGGTGATAGTCATGTGCTGCCCAGAGCCCACGGGCACGGAGGACGCGAGCCGCTGGGAAGCAGCAGTAGGGCAGGGGCCCGTGGCGGGGCTTGTGAGGGGAGAGCACACGTTTGGGCGTTGACGGCGCACAGAGGTGTTACTTGTTGGTGGAAAGTCAGCAAACAGAAGCACTTACTCTCCTGGACAGACTCTCGCGTGCAGCCGTCTGTCCCTGACCTCTCTGTTTCTGTTCTCAGGGGAAAGGAGCGCCCCCGGTGGAGGCGGACAGTCAGGGTAGGTACCGGGCGCGGGGCTGCTGGCAGCGGCCGCCTCTGTCCCCGAGCAGGTGCCAGGGATGGAAGATGAACAAAATCCTTGTCGTCTAGTGCACCTTTTTTTTTTTTTTAAAGATTCATTGGTTTGAGAGCGGCTCGTGCCCAGGAGCCTGAGCGGGGGGAGGGGCGGGGGGAGGGAGAAGCCGACTCCCCGCTGAGCGCAGAGCCCCACATGGGGCTCGATCCCTCGACCCCGGGACCATGACCCACGCCAACACCAAGAGTCGGACCCTCAACCAATGGGGGCACCCAGACACCCCTCGACTCGTAGCTCTTAAACGTGTTTCATATTAAAGCGGCTACTGCACATTTGGAAACGTTGACAGAAAGTTACTTTAAGTGATTTCTTGTCTCGTTTCAGACACACAAGGAGGGAAAGCAGCACCTCCGCCGGCTCCAGAAGGCCCAGATCATCACTACTTGGATAAGTGAGTAGCGTGTCTCTAGCTCGAGGACGGCAGGCGTGAGCCGCGGCACGTGCGCAGGGAAGTGTTTCCTCGAGCGCGGCCGGGTTCTGTCAGCCGACGGCTCTTCCCCGTCATCCGTCATCCCTAAGGAAGGGCGATGGCCCTCCCGACCCACGGGCCCCCTTTGCCCCCAGAGAAGTCAGCAGCCCGTTTGTCAGACACAGAGCACTGTGACCGCAGATACGTTCCCCTTTGGGTCAGATGTCTTTGTTCTCGTGACTTCGCGGACAGCTGTGCTAGGTTATGCTGGCAGGGCAGAAGCTGAGGGACCTTGACCTAATTGTCCCCAACACCCACTCCTCCTACCGCGTGCGAACGGGCTGTCCCCACGCGGACCCGCGGCCAGGGCGGGCGTGCGCGTTCCTGGACGACACCCGAGCCTGCGTCCGCGGCTCGTGCTCTCCTCCAGCCTGTGCATCTTCTGTGGGGAGAGGAGCGAGGCCTTCACAGAGGAGGGGCTGGACCTGCACTACTGGAAGCACTGTCTCATGCTGACAAGGTGCGCCCACTGCAAACAGGTAAGTGTCGCGCGCGGCCCGAGCCCGGCGTCTCGGCGACAGGCCCCGGGGAGAGCCGGCGGGGAGCTCCCTGAGGCGTGCACGGTGGGGCTGTTCTCTCCGAGTCTCCCTGAAGGACGGACACGGACGTGACGTGCAGACACAGCTCGGGGACGGTGTGGGTTCTGCTCCAGACCCCCCAGGGAGACGGACCCGCAGTAAAGCCGGTTGGTGACGTTGGGGCTCCCCCGGGCGCACGCCGGCTGCGCGCACACTGTGCGGGGTCTGCGCGGTGCCCGACAGCGGGGTGTGCGAAACAGCTCACGTACTGGACAGACACCTCACTGCTAAGAGATGCTGGCCGCCGCCTGAGTCCCCCGCGAGCCGCGGGTCACTGACTAACGCGACAAAAACAAGCAAGCTTGAGAGACCGTGAGGGTGACCAGAATGTGGCGGACACACACAGTGAGCAGACACTGTTGGGGACACAGCGCCAACGCCGTACTCACCATGGAGTCGGCACGGACCCTCCTTCTGTAAACCGCCCACCTTACTAGGGGCCCGCACGCAAGTCAGAAGCGTTCAAGCCCCCGAACCCCGCAGAAGGGCACGCCGTGCCCCCTGCTCCCTGGCCCTCAAAGCCACCACCTCTCCCTGCAGAGTCCCCACCGTCCCGATTCCTGACACCACAAGTCGGTGTTGCTCGCTTCTTGAGTTGATATAAACGGGATCATCTCGTGTCCTGCCGGTCTTCCTGCTTTGTCGCAGGCTCTGTTTGACAGTCCAGGGCCCATCCCTCCGCCCTGCTGTTTTTGGAAATCGGGCCGTGTCCTGTCTGGGGCTCCCATGAGTAGTGTTCCTCCGGGCGCTCCGGTGTCAGTCTGCCGAGGCACCTGTGAAGGCTCCGTTTGGAGTGCACCCTGGGGGTGGAGAGGCTGGGCGCACCCGCGGGGCTACAGGGCTGACGCAGACGGTGCTCGGAGGGGCTGCGCGTCCACACCCCAGCCAGGGCCACCTCCGTGCTTCCTGCTGCTGGTGAGGTGCGGCCCATGGCTATCTGTCTGCTGACTGTTCAGCTGTCCTGTTCTAGAAAATACCTTCTAGTCTCCGGTGCTGAGGTTTTTTTAAACATTTTATTTATTTATGTTTACAAGGGAGAGTGAGAGAGGGAGGGCGAGGGGAGGGGGCGGAGGGAGAAGCAGACTCGCTGCTGAGCAGGGAGCCCGACGCTGGGCTCTGTCCCGGGACCCCGGGATCATGTCCCAGGCCGAGACAGATGCTTCACCCGCTGAGCCACGCAGGCACCCGCTGGTTCGTGTTTTCAGTTAGCTCGCCGGCCCTGCTCTCCTGATCTGTGGTCATTGTTGATGTGTCCGCACCACAGTCCTTGCCAGATTCAGAGCCTACAGCTGGCCTCTCCCGCTTGGGGTCCGGCCTGCTCGTCGTCCTGATGTGTCCTTTGAGTTTAACCTTGTCTACCTTGGGGGCGCCTGGGTGGCTCAGTGGGTTAAGCCTCTGGCTTCGGCTTGGATCATGCTCCCAGGGTCCCAGGATTGAGTCTCTCATCAGGCTCCCTGCTCAGCGGGAAGCCTGCGTCCCCCTCTGCCTGGCACTCCACTGCTTGTGCCCTCATGGTCTCTGCCTCTCTCTCTCTGACAAATAAATAAAATCTTAAAAAGAGAAAGAAATATTCTCCTATCCCCCAAATTTGGATCTCTCCTGATGCAGTGGCCTTTCTTTCGATAACGGAGGAGAGCCGAGGAGAAGGAAATCCACCTCTGCCTCCTGCAGCTCCTCTTGGGGTCCTGCACGTCCTCACACGCGTCGGGGGCTCTTGGGGTCCTGCGTGTCCTCACACGCGTCAGGGTGGGGACTTGGAACCCAGAGGCCACACGGCCAAGCTGCCCTGCGCTTACCACCCATGCCCTCTGGAGCTAACCGCTGCTCCTCCAGCCCACCCTTCGCCGTGGCCTCTAGTGCCAGCGCAGGAACCTGACGAGGGGACGCAGATGTGGAGCGGGGCACCGTGAACGACGGCGGCAGCCGTGCGGGCTGGTGGGGTGGCGTATGCGAGCTGGGGGGCCACAGGCCGGCGGGGGCAGCCCCGCTCCCGTGTTCCCGGACACGTGCTTCCTTCTGCGTTTTGGGACACAGGTGGTGGAGATCTCCGGCCTGACGGAGCACTTGCTGACGGAGTGCGACAGGAAAGACGGGTTTGGGAAGTGTTACCGCTGCAGTGAGGCCGTGCTGAAGGAAGAGCTGCCCAGACACATAAAAACGAAAGAGTGTAACCGTGAGTGCAGGCTCGGGCGGTGCCCTCTGTGTCCGTGGTGCCCTCCGCCTCTGTGGTGCCGTCCGCGTCCATGGTGCCGTCCGTGTCTGCGGTGCCCTGCCCACGGGCCCTGCCGGGGATGGGATGTCTGGTCAGGTGTCTCCTGCTGCTTGTGCAGCTCTCACGGGAGGAACTAAATCTTGTCTCATTGACGCCATTGCAGCTGCCAAACCAGAGAAGCTGGCAAACCGGTGTCCGCTGTGCCATGAGAACTTCTCCCCGGGAGAGGAGGTGAGGGCCTGGCGCGGGGGTGACAGTGGCGAGCTTGTTGGGGCCGGGCCGCAATTAGGGCACAGGGAGCGTTCAGGGAGCTCCCCGGTCTGTCCCCGCACCTCTGGAACGGTTACTGTGCTTACCTGTCCACTCAGGTGATTTCCTCCCTCAGCACTGTGGACCCACGGGGGGCGGGGGGCCCTCGGCTCTGGGGGGGTGAGTGCAAGGGGCTTTGGCCTCTGTCCAGTCTCCGCACTTCTCTGGGTGCTGGGGCCCTAGATGGCGTCCAGGCCAGACCACAGCACACCGGTCCCTCGTCATGACTGAGCCCAAGCCCGGTGCAGCCTGGAAACTGCCGGTCACAATGAATGCGGGCTGTCCTCCCGTGTCCCCTTACCCGCCACGCTGACTCCAGCCTGGTGCACCGGGGCAGCGCCGTCCGCTCCCCACCCGCCACCAGGTAGTGCGGCTTCGGAGGCCTGCCTCTGCTCAGCCACTTCCGCTCCGACACCCTTAACCACTGCTACCCGCCGTCCACCACGGTGTCCTGCTGCTGGGCTCTCCCTATGCCAGCGCTCTGGGACGGGGCACCACGAGACAGCTCAGACCCAGCCACACTCGGCAGAAAACTCGCGCACCCAGCAGTCAGCCCTGTACCAGGTGTCCCAGGCTCGTCCTGTGTCTCAGAAAATGTCAGAGACGTAAGGAAGTACATAACAGAGCACAGGAGCCCACGGGCAGGCTTCGCGTCCCATCCCCCGCTTGAACGACGGGCGCGCATTCCGTCTGCACCCACCGTGTGCCGCCTTCTCGTGTGCCCGGGGACATAGCCAGCAGCGCGTCCCTTCTCTGCACGCGGCCAGCAGCAGGTGCGGACGCGCTCCCGCGGGGCTCATGCCTCCAGCCTCAGCGCGATGGCAGACGCGCTGGTGTCTCGGCCGTGGCTGAGGCTGCACACGGGCACCACTTCCTCGTCCAGCTCTTTCCTCACAGCGGGAGATGCTGTTGGCCCACAGGGTTTCGCATGGCTGGGTCTGCTGATGGCATCCCCCCTGCTGTCATTCGATGGGCTCTCGACCCCTCCGTGAATTGGAGGTTGCTATGAATTGGAGGTTGGCCGGGTCAGATGCACCTTCGGGTTTTAAAACTTAGTTTCTCCTGCGGTTTTCGTAGCTGATAGTGCGTTCTTCCGTAGCCAGCGGGCTCTTAAAATTAAGTCCTGTGACGACATGAAGTACTGGGCTCGCTCCAGGGCCTGTAAAGCGAGACATATTCAGGGAACCAAGAGTGGCTGCTGTCCCTGCCCTTGCTCACTGCCCCTCCCGCCTTACAGGGCTCGCTTCTTTTTGACGGCTTGGCCTGGTTCAAGGATGCGTGAGTGGTCCACACAGGCACACGTTCTCTCTCGCCGTTTATTTTAGAATTTCGGTGCCCTTGCGTCTGTGCTCCGCTGGCTCCCATGGCACTGACGCTGCCCTGGGACACTCGCCCCCTCCTCTGGCTGCTGTGTGTTGCTCCGCCTCTGAGCGTCGCAGCCCCTGGCCCCTCTTCCTGCCATGCCCTCCTGTCCCCGGCGTCCAGCGGGGAGCGGCAGCCTGGCTCGTGGCTCCCAGCTGTGAGGCAGTCGGCGGGCCTCTCCTTGCCCTCTGCTTTCTCAGCGTCCAGTCCTCCGTGCCGGCTGGCATGTGGCCACACCCTTTTCCTGTCTCACGGTTTCTGGGGTCAGGAGTTGTGGGCACAGCAGAACGTCTCCGTGGCTCAGGGTCTCACCAGGCTGCGTTCCCGTGTGGGGCCGGGCTGGGGAGGGATGGTCCAAGCTCACCCAGTGGCTGGCAGAATTCCTCTCTTTGTCATGCTAGGACCGAAGTCCCCGCTTTCCTGCTGGCGTCAACCAGGGCTGCTGTCCGCCCCTGGAGGCCCCCACGGCCCCGTGCCCCGTGGGCCTGCGCATGGGCGCGCACTCCCGTGACGGCACTCCAGCTGCCGGGTCGGTCCAGGGCCGTGGCTGCTCTGGTTTCGGCTCTGGCCGAGCTCATCTCGCTTGCCCCTCGGTTGCCTGGTTGACGCCGTGTGCCTCCTGCTTTGTTTCAGGCGTGGAAAGCTCACCTCATGGGCCCGGCGGGCTGCACGATGAACCTGCGTAAGACCCACGTGCTGCACAGGGCACCCGCTCTGCCGCCAGGTGAGGCCCGCGCCCTCCTGCACGCCAGCACCCTCGTGGCAGGGTCCCCTCCCCCGATGGCACTCAGTCCTCGTGTTCTGGCTCCGGCTCTTGCCGAGGAGGCTACTTGTGTGACCAGAACTCTTGCCATGGGTCCTGCCCTTCCCGGAGGCTCCCCAAGGGCGTCCTCGAGGTGGCAGACGCAGCCCCGAGTGCTCTCGGGGTGCAGAGCCTGGTTCTCAGCATCTTTGCCCATCACTGGACCAGAGTATTCAGAAACGCACAGTGAAATAGTAGATGCATAGAGGACGCCCCCGCCTGTTCCATGAATCATAACTTTCTCTATCTTATGTCCGATGGAGAATGCCTTTCCGGAAAATACATGTTTCATTAGAAAACTAGTCCTGGCCGAGACACTGCTGGAGGCACAGGTTTACGTTAGGGTACCTTAGTGTAAAAGCAAGAGCGTCACCGACACGAGTGTGATGAGACGTGGGTCCTGGGCTGTCCGTGCTGCGTGCCGGTGACCGACGCCCCCTGGCGGCCTCTTCCGCAAACGAGGAGCTCGGCACTTGGAGGGGCCGGCCTGAGGGTGGTCAGCCCGGAAAGGAAGCGCTTGTCACACGGCCGCTCCCCTTTCATTTCCGGAGCGGAGTTTCTGAAGCCCCAACTGGTGAACGGCTCCGTTCTCCTCTCGCCATCCCTGACGTCAGGCTCCTCCTCTGAGCCCTTTTCCTTCCTCTTCTGCCGGTTCACGAGCCCGTCCTCCTCAGCCGGTGCGGCCACCTGCCCACCGAGGGGCCACGGTGGCGTCCCCGTGGCCTCGCACTCTGTTCACGTCTTGTCTCCCTCCTAACGCGGTGCCTGTGTTGTGTTGTGTGTGTGTGTGTGTCCAGCAGGCAAAGGCCCAGCCGTGGCCAAGTCAGGGACCTCGGGATCAAAGGTCGGAAGCAAGATCCCTACCCCAAAGGGACTGAACAAAAGCTCCGGGAGGACGTACACGAAGCGGTGACATGATGCGCGTCTCCTCTGTCCCCGCGAGGAGCGGAGCAAGTTTCCTGACTGTGAACCATTTCTGCTAAAATCCGCCCTTGGATATGGAGAACCGTCCCCCACCCCGCTGACCCTCGTCACCCCACTGACGGAGAACCTGCGTCCCAGGGTCAGGTCTGGACCCGCCACGGCTTCGAGCAGCCAGGCTTCTGCCCTCCCAGCCCAGCACGCACAGGAGAGCACCCGTCTGCTCGGAGGGTGCCGACGCGATGCCCGCGCGGGCCAGGCCCTCTTCCCAAGTGCTTGCGGTGATTCCCATAAAGACTTCACTGGAAACCTCGGGCCTGTTCGTCTCTCTCACACGTGGCCAAATTCCCACCGGGCCGTGGCCCCCCAGCTGCGGTAACCATGAGTGTCACCGGGTGCCTTACCCCAGCCAGGTGCACTCTGCCTGCCCCTGCCCGGTGCACCTCCTCACCCATGTCTGCAGAGCCCGTGCTCCCCGCTCTCATAGGTCACTGGGCATGGGTCCCCCTGTGCCCCTCGCCCGGCCAGGGGCCCATGAGGAGTGCACGGTCCGTAGCTGTCACCACCCTCCTGCGGCAGTCCCCCCCCACAGCAGTCGCCCCCCACAGCAGTCCCCCTACCCGCAGCAGTCCCCTGGGGGAGCTGAGGGGGGCACTGTGAGGCTCCGAGGCAGGGCCGCGCTGGGGGTGCTCACATCCCTTACGTGCGTGCCGCCCTCAGCAGAACTACAAGGTGACTGTCACCTGTCCTGTGCTCGCCTGCCCACAGCGTCGGCCGGAGCGCCCCGCTCTTGAACCCCAGAGGCAGACGTGGCACCGCTCTTGACTCTGGCGTGGGGCATCTGCTCCTTCACGCACGTCCCCGTCAGCCCCTGTGGACCCAGCGCGTCTGCCTCGGGCCTGCCCCTCGCTCGTCTGCGTTGGGATTGGGGCTCCAGGTTCATTTGCTCGGCTCGTCCCGTGGTACTTCACGCAGCAGACGTCATTTCAAACGAAGACACCAGACCTCGAAGTCCAGCCCCCTCCCAGCTCCCCACCCGCCATCGGGCAGGGGAGCGGTTCCCCGTGCTTCCCGTGCAGGTGGCCGGGCTGACAGGCCGGTGTGGGTCGGCAGGGAGGGCCCCGCGTCTCCCCGCGGCCAAGTCTCCCGGGGACCCGGGGTGGCTGGCCCTTCCTGTCCCACTGTGCAGCCGGGACATGCTGCCCCCTCCTCCTGAGCGCCCGGCGGGCTTTCCCGACTGAGACCCGGGGTGACGGACGAAGTGTGGGCTGAGTGATTAGTGTGTAAATAAATACTGAGTTTCCGGCCGTGTGAAACCACAAAGTGTGTGTTAGAAAACCCCTAACGGCTGTCGGAGCAGTGCGCTCCTGAGTACGTCCGTGACCGTGAATTTGCACGGCTCTCTCCGTCCTGGGAAGGCTGATGCCTTCTCGTTCGCAGCAAGAGTGAGACCGAGAGAATTACCAAAACCTCTGACCCAACCAAACCACGAAAGCGCACGGGGAGAAAGGACGCAAACCTTCAGTGGGCGGAGCAGAGCACGGATGCCGGCAGGTGACACTCGGGCCTTTCTGGCCCCGGGGACAGCGGCTCGACCTGCGGCCCGTCCTCCACGCGCGGACCAGCCGCTCCCGTAAGCAGAGCCGCGGTCACGCGAGCGAGGGAAGGAACCATTCCTTCCTCTCCGCCCAACACTTCCAAATACAGATGTCTTGTTTTCTACATATCGTAACTTGAAAAAGCGTTTGTAAAGATATTTAATTTTAGTGATTGGCAAACCAAATCGGGTGCATTTAAGACCAGTTAGCGCCGCCGGTTACAGAAGAACTGAGTGGCGCTCTTGATCCCTGGCAGGTTCTCGTGGCTGCTGAAAGCCTTACAGAGTTAGGGACTACTAAGGAACCACAAAAAGAAGACAAAAAATTTAGAAGGAACTGTAAGATCCCTTGGCCATGTATAAATAATTTGGAATAGGAATTAATGATTGACTTTTCACTCCTGAGTATGTTGTGCATATTTAACTATTTATTTCTATTATTTTCATATTTCAGGATATTTTATCAAGCTAATTTAAAAGAAATGTGTCTATAAATTTGGCATCAGAATACACATGTAAATACTTTTAATGAAAATTTGCAACTTTTTAATGTTTTAACATAGTTTTCTATTTGTCTTTATTTCAGGTACCAGAGTTATAATATCTAACTAATATATTTTTGTTGTTAGTTTAGGGCCTAGGGGTCCCCTCACCCTGAGCATATGAACATAATAAAAAGGTCACTCAATGTTCTGTCACTTTTATTTCAAGTTTTCCATTAAAAGGCAAATGGAGTGTCTTCCACTCTGGCGCGCCGGCCAGAGGCGCGGCTGGGGGAGGCGTGGGAGGGGCAGGGAGTCCGCTGCGGGGACGGGGACAGAGCTGGCCCCACGCTGCAGGGGGTGTGGACACGAGCTTCCTGCTGAACAAGGTGAAGGACGGTCAGCTCCTGTGACTTGGAGGACGTGGTCGCCCAGCTGTGCCTGCAGGTGGAGTCGGAGTGTCCCTCTGACCGTCTTGCTGTGCCCACAGCGCGTCCGCACGCCTGCGCCCCTTGTCCAGAGGGACTTAGCGGCCAACACGGAGATCTTGCTTTCAAATGAGTAAAAAGGCAGTATTTTCTCTGTTCATTTGTGGAGTGACTTAAAGCTTTTATCAATTTGGGGAATCCTAAAATTGCCTCCGTTTTGAAGTCACAATGTGCAGGTTTTCCCCTCCACGAATACTGTTAACGTAAAGCTGACGGCACTGTCTTTCCTCCTGGTTTGGGGACTAGGGCCCTGCGTGGGGGAAGGGCCAGGCGTGTGAGCCGCAGGGTGGGCCCGGAAGAGCGCACATTCCGGACAAGCGCTCCACTCACCCCTGCAGGGGTGCCGGAGAAGGAGGAGCCCCTCCCTCCGTGGGCTGCTGGAACTGGGTGTGCTTTTGTGCCGTTGCGTATCTGCTCTTAAAAACCAGGTCGGTTCTCCAGAAAGCTGAGCGTGGGGTACCCAGCAGCCTTCCTGGCTCTTGCCGCTCTGGGGGGCTTCCGTGCCCCCTCCCCAGCCGCTGGGCCGTGAGCTGAGCCCCCTGCATCTGGGATGCAGTTGGAGTGACCCTCAAACTGCTCCTGCAGGGGCAGGGGGTCCCCCTTGGGGTCTTCTGGAATCCTTGCAAGAACCAGTGAGGTTATCGTCAGTGGCAGGTGGGGACACCGGCCCCCTAGAAGGCAGCGGGCCCAGATGAGAACTCTGGATCCTGATAGACCCGGGAGGCCTGTGGACAACAGCTCATAGTCCCTGCCTCAGTTTCCCCTTAAAGAGTGGAGCCAAGGAGAAGGTGCTGATGAGGTCCAGCCCGGCCAGTGGGTTTGCAAGTTCGGGGAGGGAGCCAGCCCCTAAGCTGAGGGGTGCCCCCGAGCCCTTCATCCCGCATTCGCCTGTGCCTGCAGGGGGTAGGAAGCGGAGACACTGAGGCATGGACCACCACCAGCCAGAAGGCCTCAGAACTCCACCCAGCTTCCCAGGCCCCAGGCCCACCCACCCGAGCCCGCAAGTGCCGGGATTTCAGGGGAGGGGCAGGGAGAGTGGGGAGGGCCGAGGTCAGATGCCCGATGGAGTGAATTTCCTTGTGCACAGAAGGAGCTCACCCCCGAGCAACAAGCAACGCTCTTTTCTGGCTCAGGTCCTGCAGGTTGCAGACTCCCCAGGAGAGGTGTCCCTGGCTCCTCTCAGTGTCTTGGGACCAGTCCAGAGAGGGAGGGGTGGTGTCCTGCCTGGAGGTGGGGGACATCACGGGAACCAGTGCCAGGGTTCTGGATAAAGACCTTTCTCTCCCCTTGGAGTAGGCCTGTTTCCCAAATTCCAGGATCCTAGACTGGGGGGGGGGGGTTCCCCAGCAGTTGGGGGAGGCTGGAGGGCGAGCCTGAAGGGGTCCAAGACTCATTCTGGGCGGGGCCAGGCCAGGAGCGGGGTCAGGAACAGAAAAAAAATCACGACCTGTCTTCTTCCTACTGGAAGTTTTAGAAGTTTGCTTTTTCACACTGCCATCGGCCACCGACCTGGAGCGGTCTTGTATTTTCTGTTCCTGAATGAGGTGGAGATTTGTGAAACCAGACGCAAACGCAACAGCTAGACAATCGATCATTCGACTCTGTTACAATCATGACGTCTCGAGACGCCTTTACAGAAAGAGAAAACCAGGAGAACACATTTATTCACAACAAACAACCCAGAAAGAGCTGGTGCCCAAAAGACACAGAATCTCCTACGCATCATTAGGAAAGGCCGAGGGGCCTCCGGCCTGGCTTTGGGAGTGCAAATAGGGAACCAGTTCCAGAACACAGCACGCAGGGCTCTGTTGCCGCTGCGACGAGTTATTGCGAGTGCCGGGACTCACGGCACCCAGGACTAAGAGCAGGGCTCAGCCGGGTGCGGGGATCCCCGGGGAATCCGGTCCCGGGGGAATCCAGTCCTCGCAATCCCAGCTTCCAGCGGCCCCCACTTTCCCGAGCTCGGGGCCTCTCCCTCCCTGTTCAAGGACAGCCCCGCGCCCCACGCGGCCATCCCTCTGGTCCTTGGTCTCCACCTTCCTCTTCTACTGGTAAGGATCCTGTGAGTTCACTGGGTCCACAAGACGATCTCCCCATCGCAAGGTTCCTCTGAGACTTCAAGTTCCCTGTGCCCTAAAACCTACCACATTCACAGGTTCTGGGGAATAGGGTGTGGACCTCTCTGGGGGCCGTCATTCCGCCCAACACACCTGTAAGAACGCCATCCGTCTAACATCTATATCGCTTTTCTTTTTTAATATTTTCGGCTCCTAATAATATTTTTTTTGAGTTGTGGACAAAACCTGTTATTAGTTTCTTATTTACAGGCCTTATCAGTGCTCCTGGTAGTATCATTAAAAGACCATTTTACCTACCTTAGAAAATGCCAATCTTTTCAGCTGCAGTCATTTCCTGCCTATGGCTGCTACGGTATGCATTTCACTCAGCATTGTTTGCCTACCAGGTTGTCCTCTGCTTTTTGCCACAATTCCAAGCTGCCTGATGAATTCCCCTTTCATAAGAAAA